TCAAAGGGTAAGATTGTCAATTACATCTTTTCGTATTACTTTTCAGTTTGTTGAAAGAATGGAGAAAGCTAAATTTCATATTTATATAAAAGAGAGTAATTATTTAGAGAAGAATGCCTAAATATGGACATGGGTACCAATTTCATATTCTAAAAGTAGCACAAAGGGGCAATTTTTCATTTCCTTTTCTCTTAATATATTTTAATATACGATAATGCACCTAAATCTTTCCTTCCCTACTTTTTTCATAAATCAGTAATGACATATGGAGATTGGCCCAATTCGAGGACTGGGGCCAAGTACCCCAGTCTAAAAATAGTACTTGGGGGCATTTTTCGGCTTGTGTTTGTTCGGCATCATCATCGACGTGTGGAATTACCCCAGTATACCCATTTTTATGCTGGTATCACAATTTGCACGATTCATGTTCTAACAGCCCAGACTATGGAGTTTAATGCATTCTTTACGTCTATGTTTGAAAGTAAAAAATGCAATGCAAAAAAACAAATACACCTGACATTTTTTTAACCTTTTTGAACATGTCAATTTTTACGTAAGTTAAGACAAACAGACAAAAATATCTTCCTCCAGTGTATAGTTGATAGCTACTTGAAGATGAATTAACAGCGTTTATGCCAATAGAGATATTTTATGCTAAAAGAGCTTTTGTAAGTTTGGGAGAACTTCGTCCCAAACTGTCAATGACCTTGTCTTTGTCTATAGAGAGACAAATCTTTCTTTCAAACGCCATCATCAAAAGGCATTTGCCTTGATAAAATATGCTGCCATAAGTGAACTTAATTTCATATCTTCCGCTAGTCTGGACCTTTCTTCGTTTCTAAACTCCGCCCCTTACTTTTTCTTTCGTTTACGATCATCTGAGGACATTTCTGGAAGAATTTTTTCAGTTATTGAGGTATAAGAAATGAAAATTTCCTGTAACTCAAAAAGACGCCCAACCCCCCCCCCCCTCCTAGCCCACTTTTTATTTTTTCAAAATATTCTGGCATCCCCCGCTCTAGTAAGGTCCAAAAATTGAAAAGGCTTTCAAAAATCTTTTTTTTAAATATCCACAAGCGCTCAGTTAGGAAACGGTATGGTGAAATAAGATAACCATGGTGAGCTATGGGGATGAAAATCTGATCAATTTCAGAATCTGGTTAAAATTCTCAGTTTCCTATGAAAAAACAGGCGCATTTGAATTTTAAATTTTGTACACTAAATAACGTATATTGATGCGAAATATTTTAGCTATATTGCCCTTTTTTTATAAGGAAACTGTCAATTTTTTTCAGTCTCAAAAATCTTAAGAAATTTTCGTTTTGAGAGTGAGTATATTTTTTAGATAATCTTACTTTTTCAAAACTGATATGGTTTCAGGGGAATATACTTGCTCTTGAATTTAAACCATGCTTTTTGAAAATAGGACATATCAGTCATGCGAGTATTTGTTATGAACAAAGCATAACAGACAACTACTGAAAATGAGACGCAAATTTTGGGGCTGACAGTTGAGCAATATTCTTATTGTATTTTTAAGAATTTGATGATTCCAAGGCTGAATTTCCTATTTACAAACGCAGACATTAAGATATCATTCAAAACTTAAAATGATATAGTAATAACAGAGAATTAAACCCACTGACTTATGATAGAAAGCAGGGGCGTAACTTGGCCAGTAGGTTTGGGGGGTGAAAAGGGTTTCTGCCCTGCAAAACTGAGTGGTGCCCTGCAGACCTCGTAGCAAAGGTTTGTCTATACTCTATAGGTTACTAGTGAAAGCGTTACCAGTGTACACTGGTCTTTACCATGGAAAAACTTCTAAGCAATAAAAACAAACTTGAAACTTTTATTTCTCTACGTGAGCGTAAATTATATGTCAAATTTGGTTTTCCTTGATAATAAAGCTTCTATCTCGTGGCAAATGATTTTTTGGTGCATTATATGGGCGGAGCAACGAAATTGAGCCCAGGGGGACTAAGAATCACCTTTAGTGACATAGGAGGACCCACCATGGTTGGGTCGGACGTAAAGAAAAATTTTGAAATTATACCTTGTAATAGGGCTAAAAAGCATCTTTCAGACTAAAATTTAGCAAAATACTATTGTGCTAAAAAACTGATTATTGTTTATTGGGAAAAATAGGGAGGGACATGTCATGCTAAAACTCTAGTGATAGACGTTGGGGAAGGAAAGAAACAGTAACCTTTCGTTTCAGATTGCACATAGTTGTGACTGACAGACGAAGATGTTGTTTTGATTGGGGAAATTTTATTTCCTGAACAGAAATGTGCAGTTTCTTGTATCGAGAAGGCCATCCAAAATTAAAACATTGCAATGATACAGAAAATGATTTACTGAATTAATGCAAATAAAAGAAAAAAAATATACGTGAAAAAGTTAGTAAATTGATCAAACAAAATCGGCATCTTAACAGTTTACTCTCTTTTTATTTCATGCACTGTTAAAAATTAATAGAAAAAATGATAAAAAAGTTCTTATCTTGACCAAAGTGAGGGCCTTCAGCCCCCTATTCCCCCCAGTGACGCCGTGCTTGTCATGAAAATTTTTTACAACTTAAATTTACTTATATGGACTCAACCTTGCCCTCATAAACATATGCATCAAATCAATCATTGCATCCATTGGCTATGACTTTCGGTAAGACATGCTTTCGCTTTGCAAATAACGGAGCTTTTCCTTACATACCTGTTCCGTTCTCTAAAATGCAATATCAGGAAGGTAGGTTCATAACAAATATGATATTTCCATTTCATAATTCCTAAACGGCCCTTTACGAACTTCAGAGGTGACATTTCTACGTGGCAACAAAGCTCTTCTTGGCGCCCTGCGAAATCTTCGATTGCCCTGCGAAATCGATTATTTTTTAGATTGGGGGGGTGTCACACCCCCACCCCCCACACCCCCCGGTATTTTCGCCCCTGAGAAAATAGGAGCAGGAATGTTTTTGACACGAAGCGACTCTTACACGTGAGTTTGATGCGGTGTTGAACAGAGAGTCAACCCATCGTTCGTGAAACTTGCAAGTTGCAACAACCTATTATTATGTGGCAACTTTGGGAAATGGACTGTTTTGGTGGTCTATCTATAAAGATCTATGTCGACGTTTGACTGTCAATTCTGTCAGCTATGTCACCTGCAGCAGGGGTTAACTTGGTGATCATCCCCTGCTCTAACAAAACTGCTTGTTTTGCTATTATTTTGCCCTGTTCACCCTCAGCCCTTCTTGTCACTAATATTTAGTTATATCAGAATAATCGTTATTTTACTTAGTTAATATATTTCTCATTGTATCTAACTAGCCATTACTTTGTTTAATGTTGTACTTAGCTATAATTATACACTCAACTACATTTTCTAACGCTGTAGTTTTGTAAGCAGTTAAGGGCCATCTCGGCCCATGTACTTGATTAAAAAAACAGAAGAGGCCACCTTCGGCGCCCCTATAACGTGAACATTCACTTTGGCGCCCCTTGCATTTTATCGGCAGGGGTGCACTTTGCTGATTCGATTGCTGATTCGATTGCTGAATAGACCTGAGAACAGTCAAAACTACAATTCGGTAGTGTTTTACATTTGCGGGTCTTGCTATCAAAGCTACTTAATGGTTTTTAAATGAGGAAAGAAGATCATTTCCGAGGTGATGCATGTCATGTAGACTTGCCACGAGGGAAGGACAAGGCTTTGTCTACTGCATCACCTTCGAAAGGAACTAAGTCAATCACTCCATCGTCTGTTATTTTTTTTATCATAGGTACAGATTAGTTTGTAGAAAAGTCCTTTTTGTAAACGTTTTCTGGTAAGAATGTTAGAACACGTTTTGGTAAGAAGACATGGAAAGACTGAATGCAAATTTCCAGCTGCAGACAGAGAAAAACATGGTAGAAGAGTGCTGACAACCGTTTTCCTGTGAAAGCCCCGGCCAAACAACTTGATTTTCACTCGATTTTTTACTCAGCAAGCAATCGATCGAAAAATCGAGTCGTTTGGCCACCTTGTCGAGGGAGTCGAATGGCGTCGAGTGATGTCGAGAGAAGTTTGATCTTTATAAAAAAGTCGAGTGAAAATGTTGTTGCCGAATAAAAATCGAATCGTTTGGTCGTCGAGTGGGTGCATGAGCAGTTATTATCTCCTATATTCGAGAGCAAGGCCGCCAAAAGGAGGCAAGGAAGCATATTACCCTGGGGCCTCGAGGTCCAGGGGACCTTTAAAAGTGATGAGCTCCATTTTAAGAATGGAATCAATCGAACGAAACTAAGGAATGTTTAAAAAATAGTAATTAAAAAATAGTATTATTCAATGGCGGTTACTGCATAAACGAATGACCAGAGTGACGCTAGAGTTCGTCAAGAGAATGTAAACGGACATTTGCATGTAAGATAAGCACGGCAGCTGACTTGGGCTTCTTTGTCTTCATTTTGTTGACGTGAGCGAAAAGTCGAGTGAAAAATCGAGCAAAAAGTCAAATCGTTTGGCTAACCATGTTCGACTGCGCTCGATTTTGAGATCAAATGTCGAGAGGAAGATCAAGCGAAAAATCGAATCGTTTGGCCATGGCTTTAGAAGGACTAATTGCAAACTTGTCGAAGAATAAATTTCTTTCCTGTCGGGAAAGGAAAAAGTGATTCTAAATAAATTTAGCTCGAAAAACCGTTTCCACTGTAAAAGCAATCTATGCCCAAACTACGCCACGTTAGTTTGGTTAGCGTGGACCGCGGCGACAATTTGCGCTTTTTGCCAATGTAGAAAAGAACTTTAATTTTCTTGTGGAATATCTGACTTAAAGATTATGGCATATAGCCATTCCCTTTAGAATTCTGTTTGTCCCACAAATTCTTTGTCACCCCAACGTACCCCTTTTATTCCCACTTGCAACATGATAGCTGGTTTGGTTCCTCTACAGGCCAAGGGAGTCATTGCTCTGATGTATCAAATCGGTGATCGAAAAACATAGCAGATTAATCAATGTTAGGTAAACAAAATTAATTCTCGTTGATTGTTTCTCTTAGACTTTATTGCTTGGATTTGCAAAATTAAGCTAACATTTAAAGTCGAAAACTTACCACAAAAAGCCGTTATGCGAATATTGACACCATAAATTCGACAAGAGTGCGGATTCGTATCCATCGCAGAATGAGCTAATGGGCAGCTGCGATCAGCAAGTAATTTTGATTGTGTTACTATTTGTGTGTCGGGAAAAGTAGGAGGAGACGGTACTCAAATTACTGTTTCACTGGGCTCGCGGCGAGAAAAAACTCCTTGTGTAGTCATTTTGGCCCCTGCTGGAATTCTCTGCCTAAATTAATCTTTTTGCATAAATCTCTTCTGTGAAATCTGCTTTATACGATTAAAAATTGGTGTCATTTTTTTCATCCTAGTAGTGGAGTGGAAAAAACTTATAGAGGGGCTTTTAGAGGTTTGGAAAGAGACAGCTAATAATGCGATTCTCTGCGGAGGAAGGAATCTTAAAAAACAATTTTTCGCAGTTGAACAATAGGATTTCTTGGGATAAAAATCATGTCGTAAACTATTACAAGAATATTGCATTTTCCTTTGCGTAATTTTCAACCTTTGTGTTTTTGTGCTTGTCTTATCATTTTTCTAATATTTTCTAATAGAAATTAACATAATGAGAGCGGTCAAAGTGATCTTTTATTTCAGGGCACTTCTTGCCCCCTCTGCCCCTCTTCGAAGAGGGCAGGACGGGCAGCTGCCCCTCCAGCCCCCCCCCGGTGTAGGCGCCCCTGTTTGTATCAGTTGACAAGTCAGATAAATATATACAAACTTGAACCCGAGAATTGAACATAGAACTTTTGAAAGAGAATGTCACAAAGATTACAAGAAATCAGGTAAACTGTAAGTACACAAAGAGAAGAGTGGATCCAAAAAGTGAATAGTGTTCAGAAGAGAAAGTAGCTTACGTTACCATCAGGGATCACGAATAAAACTTTCCAAACAATGTACCCTGTAGACTTATGAATTCAACAAAATCAGACATTGGAAAAATAAGTGAAACAGTATTAGGCAAAATTGACAAAGAGATTGTCACATCAAGCAAAGTTCATCAATGGAAAAATACAGACTCACTTATCCAGTTGTTTAATGGTATCGAAAATAAACAAGACGTAAGTTTATAATCTTTAACATAGAATCATTTTTTTACCCATCGATATCTGTCGAACTATTAAACAAAACTATACACTATGCAGCATAGAATTGAATTTTAAGCTTTAAAAGCAGCTAACCAAGATAACACTCTCAGTTACTCTGAAAACGATCATGACCAACTGCATTTTGCGCAATATCTATACAAATCTGTATTTATTCAGATATTCTAGCCTTGGTTTTGTGGTTACGTCTATATACATGTATTTACTTTCTGAATGCACACTGGCCTTTTGCATCTCGATTTAAAACAAGGACCGAGATACAGGTGGACCGGGGGGCCTTAGCCCCCCAAAAACTTAAGTAGTATAGGTAAAATACTTTTATTTGTAAAATAGGTCTGTTTTTACACTTATTTATCAGGGCTGTCCACCCCCCCCCCCCCCCTTCCTAAACAGAAAGTTATATCTCAGTCTTGGATTTAAAATATCATCACTGCTAGAAGCTGGTACTTCCATCGTAGGTACAATGTTTCGTGATCCTCCAAGATACTCAGTCATCTCTAAAACAGGAAGGTTCTTGCCAAAGCATGCAATTGAGAAAATACAGTAAAATCCCGATATCTCGAATCTCCAAGGGACCAATAAAACTGTTCGAGTTTACTGTATTAAAAATTCATGCGATAACTAGGGGACAGTCGTACCCCCTCAAACCCTCTGCTTCAAAGTGGTGCTTGGTACAACAGTTGAATTAATGTGCTTTCCATGCTGTTTGATTGCTTCAAGTTAAGACATTGGCGAAAAATTCACTGTTTAATGGGGGCGAAAGGGAAAGGGAAACAGAGGCCGGAAAATCCTTCACTGCTGCCCCTTCTACACGCTTGAAAAACATTGGGATTGCTTCATCGTTGCTATTCATTAGGTGATTAACGTGTACATCTTAACAACTCTTCGTAAGATATTCCGAAAAAGCTATGGCTCAAGAAACTCTACTACTTGAAAAGCATTATTCAAGCAGTTATTTTCCTGGGAAATATCTCATTGAATCTGGAAAGTCAAAAGGTTTCTCAAAATAATTTTAGCTTCTTACGAGTATCTAGTTTTTAAATGTCGGCAGAAAGATTTAGACTTAGATTAAGACAAATGCTTTTATCAAAATGATAAAAGAAAGGATTTTTTTTCCAAACTTTATGTAAAGAGTGAGTACGGAATTTAATGTCGGTTATATTGCAGTAGGGTAGGCATGGCTATACTTCCATCGTACTCATTGGTTATTGATGTCATGTTTAGAAATTCCGCTTAAAAGTTGCATTTTATGAGGCTGTCTTTATAATTTAAAATTATTGGGGGCAATCGCTCCCTTCGCCCCTCCTAAGTGTCCGCCACTGGGTTAAGAGCAAAAGAAGCAGTTTTGACGTGACTGGACTAGTTAATTTTTCATGCAAACACAGCTGGTAAAATGAATTCCTCACTGTCGATGAAAAGTATATTCGTAGGATACTGTTCGAAAGACCCTAAAACGTTGGCCGTTAGTCATGACAGTTGCTCATATGACTGTTGTTGCAGTAGTCGTGCAAGTGAAATTTCAAAATTTGTCTTATTAATTGTTCTTAAGTTATGCTAAAACTCTAGCAGCTTTAGAATCTTACCCTTATTAACTGAATAAGTGAGATTGAAGCAGACCTTCTGTTTTCCCTACGGTGATAAACATATGCAGTACAAGCCAAAAAAGCCAATAAACATGCAATTTTGAATGCATGATAATGCAGATATCTAGGGAATGCACGATTGTAGAAATGGGTAATGCCAGAAATTAGTCTCGGCAAATAATGCTTTTAAAATCATGTCAGCTCATGACTTTGGCAGGCTCTTGCGCAACCGGCATGCTTTGCGACTATCATTCAACAACTGGCAACTGTCTAGCCGCGTTTGCCAAGTTTCGTCCTAATCAATGCGAGGCTAGCAAAATTCCTCCATTCCATTCATGCATGTCTTGATTTAACCAGGTACCAGCAGGAGTTAAACGGTTACCCTATTATGTTGAATGTATTGAATAAAAGATTAGTTGATCTTGTCAAAGTGGCATGCTCATTTCATTATCACAAATTGCCAGCTGAAATCGAAAGCAGTCATAAGTGTAGTATACTCCATAACTTTATGTCACCTATGATTCTTGAAAGATTGGTATGACTGTTTTCTGTTAAATATTGGAGAATGTCTGTTGGCTCTTTTGTTGATTCAAACACGTTCGAGGACGCATTTTGCCACCTCAAAAATTTCCAGTTGCAAGGAACATTTTGTGATGTAACCATTCGTTGTTATGATGATATCGGGACAGAGTTTACAGCCCACAAAGTCATTTTGGCAGCCAAAAGTAACTATTTTTACACCATGTTTACAACTGGCTTAATGGAAAAGGACAAGGAAATAGTTACACTGAAAGGTGTAACATCAAATGCTTTCAAAGCGCTCATGTCCTACACATACAGCGGCAAGTTTGCTATCGGCCCTAGCAATATTGAAGAAATTCTTGAAGCTGCCCATATGCTGCAGTTTGAGCATGTGCAAGATGCATGTTTCGAGTTTTTGCGCAATAACATCGATTGTACTAACTGCATCGGAATATCCTATTTGGGACAGAAATACAACTGCAATGAAGTTAAACGAGATGCAGAAGCGTTCTCTCGGCAAAACTTTCGAGAAGTAACAAAAACCAATGAATTCTTGGAGACTGAATTAGATTATGTTGTGAAACTGATCTCTAGTGACGAGATGAATGTAACTGATGAAAGCGAGGTTTACACCTCTATCATTGCATGGACAAAACACTGTGAGTCATCACGTGGCTGTTATTTGGGACAGCTTTTGCAGTACCTCAGAGTTCCATTATTGACGAGAAAGTTTTTGATCGATGTTTTGGCAAAAGAAGAACTAATAGTAGGAGACAAAGAATGCCGGGCATTTTTGCTAAATGCTCTTGATTATCACCTTTTGCCAGAGAGGCGTGATCAATATACAATTACAAAAAGTGGTCCTAGAGAAACCGTTACAAGAAAATTGCTGGTGGTCGGAGGAGAAAGTTAGTTTCATCAATCTTTATGAATCTCGACAGAATGAAGGTTCTGATGATTTTCAGAATGTTGTCAAAAACAAGACAAAATATAACAGCTACACATTCCTTAAAGTTTATCATATATCTATCTCAGTGAGAAATGACGTCATTGGAGAGGGTGGGTATCAAATTTATATATACTGATTGTATCACCGCATCAGTGTTGTTAATGCTCCTGAATAATTCTCATTATAGACCGATCTGGTGTGCTAAAAACTGTTGAATGCTATGACGTAAATAAGTATTGCTGGGAAACAAAGCCAGCAATGTCACAACCCAAGAAGCATTGCGCTGCAGCCTTCCTCGACGGGGTTATTTACGTTGCTGGTGGCTCTGCCGTAGATGGAGTGGATTTAGATACGGTGGAAAGATTTGACCCAGGCACATGCAAATGGTGCTTTGTGGCCAAACTAACCAAATGTAAAGGTGAGCATTTCCCACAAGTCATTAAATTCATAATAGCTGATTTCCAATTCTGTGGTACCTGCATCTATTATCATAAAAAAGCAAAATAGTCAATAAGCTTTTGCATGTAGCTGACCTGATACCCCAGGGCGAAAATACATTTATTTTTTAGAATAGGGGTGCTCGGGCTACTTTTTGGGACTAGAAATTGAGCAAAAGTTATTTTGGGGTCAGTTAATTGTACAATTGCTTTTTTGGGTTCATGAAATGCTGAACTATTTTTTTGAGTTTCGAATATGAGAAGTTTAAAAAAACTGAGAGAAATTGCTAACTTTCCTCTGCACTTTAGGTCAATATTTATACATATCGTGGTCTTCAGTATGGCACTTTGCCTATCTCTACCAACTTTCATGGTGGCAACACAAATTGCAGCAACATTATTAGAAAAATCGCTTTTGGGACCTGGGACCTAGTCCAACAGTCTAAAAATAACACTTGGGGGCATTTCTCAGCTGGCGTCTGCATCCTATCTTTTTGAGTATATCAAACTGCCAATCTCTTCCAATTTTCATGCTGGTATCACAACTAGCAGCGATAGTATGAGAATAAATGCTTTTGGGGCCTGGGACCCAATATAACGGTCTATAAATAGCACTTGGGGCACTTCTCAGCTGGGCTCTGCATCTTATCTTGTTCAACGCCCAAAACCACCCTTGTTGGCAAACTGTCATGTTGGTATCCGATTTTGCACAACTCTCGCAAAATCTGGGACTAACAATCCTGACTATGTAGGGTTGCTTCGCCGGCAAATTTTCAGACTTGTCTGCAAATGAGGGAGGGCGCACCCACTTTGTCGGCAAATGGGACCTGAGTTTCCCCTCTTCTGCACAATAGCTAGCGACGGGCCTGTTACCCAATTTAAATATGTATCATTATTGTTATTATTGACAGGTGCCATTGCGCTAGCAGTTCTTGATGGATGGCTGTATGCTCTGGGAGGTTCACACGGAGGCTCTGCATTAAAAACTGTGGAGCGCTACGATCCAGTATCAAATCACTGGGCCCAAGTGCAGTCAATGAGATTTCCTAGGAGCAATTACGGTGTTGCAGCGCACGCAGGAAAGCTTTATGCCATCGGAGGCTACTGCGGAATAAGTGAAATCGAACACTGCGAAACATACGACCCACTCAGCGATCGATGGAAGGATATTGCAGATCTTAATAAAGCAAGAATGAACCATGGTGTTGTTGTACACAGCGAGAGGATATATGCGATAGGTGGCAGAAGCCCGAATTCAGTGTTAGATTCAATAGAAAAATACAATGCTGGTTTGAACATGTGGCTCATAATCAAGCATACTCTTGATCCACGGTCGGGAGCGAGTGTCGCACTTGTAACTACTGGCAATGATGAAAGTTCAATGTACGTTGCTGGAGGGCTAGACACCAGTCATATTTGCCATAATTCGGTTAAAACCGTCGATCTAAACTCAATCGACTACGTTATAACTAACAGCATTGGAATGCTAGAGCCAAGAGCATTTGGAGCAGTAGTTACGTATTAGAAAAAATGTTCTAATTTTATTAAAATAACAAAAGGCAAATGTCACGTTGCGATTCACTTAAAAGTAGAAATATGTTTTAACTTACTAGCTTTTTTTCTAAAACTTATTCCTTTGTGACAAACAAGACCACTGATAGTTTTTTGAAAATACGAGATGTATCGAGTGAGAGAGAATAGGTCTAAGAAAATTGAAATTTACAAGCATTCGTTACAATCATGAAAGGATATTTGAGTCATGAAGAACAGCAAATTCGCTTGCAAATTATCATGGCTTCAGTCTTCAACATCAGAAGATGTCAAAAACTAATTACAACAAACATATTGGTTACATACTGGCAAAAACAACTGTTACAAACAATCAGTAAAATTATTTACAGAATCCCTAAAAACTACGCCAGGGAATGTACATGTGTTAAGCATGCCCTGAAAATTTCCCGCAGCAGAAATCAGATGAACAGCAAGTTGTTCCTTTTTTGGTTGGAAAAACATAGCACCAAAAAATAAGTAAGCAGTGGTGCTGGTCATTCAGATCTTCTTTAGAAGAAAAATTATATAGCAAGAAAAATAATTTTGAGTATGCTCTTAGATAAAGAAAACAGCAAGGTAAACATACCAAAAATGTGGATCCGTTTTACATTTCTATCACTTTGTCGTGTGACCAAACACCAACAGCCCAGCTATTAAACTGCTAAACTTTCGCTCGCTTTTTGTTGCAGATGTGTTTTTCCTGTTTGTGCTGATTTTTCTCATTACATTCCTTAATCTCAATTATCCTCAACCGCTCTAAGCAAGTGATTTTGATTGGTATATTATCATCTTCAGGTACAAATTGTTCAATATTCTCCCTATGATCACCGAAAAAATGTGAAATTATAGGGCGATGTTCTGGACAGGTTGCAACTTTCATGCTGGCAACTTTCATGCTGGCAACTTTCATGATCAATTTTTTAGAAGCGAAAAATATGGCTGAAAAACACAAATCTCGCAAAACACCGCGCCTTGATTCGTTAAATTATTTTAAACATTTAAACGACCGTTACTATGCTTCTTATCTAACACTTCAACAAGATTTTAGATTTCGGGGGTATCCAAAGAATGGTTGATAGGGTAATTGTTTTGCTCCTTAAAGAGGGGAGCATGAATGCCAAAAATAAAAGAGTAAATTTCTTAGTAATAAAACATTCAGATATGCATTGTGGAGTTTGAAAAAGCTTTCGATTTTGTTGACTGCACAATGTTTATGGTGCTGTTTAATGGTATGAATCATAAGCGACGGAGACATACGGGCTGGGGGGGGGAGGGGTGGTGGGCAGCTGCAGCCTATCCCCCGGTCCGACAAATTTTATCGCATTTTAGGCCCATACGGGGAATCTTTTCTCAATTAAGCAACAATATTCGGGTAAGATTCATACTAAACGTTTAGCCTCCGCTACGCCTATGGTATAAATGGCAGTGTTAGGTACAATGATTTGAATATTTTGAATAAATCAAATCAATTCTTTTTGGCCGAAGGGACAGCCAGGAGGCATATGTCATTGGAAGTCCAGGTTCACGAACAGTAAACATTGCTGAAAGCCAATCGTTTAAGAATGATCCAGACCTGGCAGCATTGCTGCAAGTATCAATATTTCGCAGTCTTCCATTTTGCCAGACACCCCGCTCTCTAACACGGAGACTCCCTTTACGCCCTGCAAACGAAAGTTAAAGGCAACCGAAAGATACCAAAGAGGCCAAAACCTACTGTCAATCAACAAATGGCCAATCAGCGAGAGTTATTATATTCTCACGCTTGTTCATTGGCTGATATTGATTGACAGGTGACTTAAGCCACTCATGTATCTGTCGTTTATATCTTATCCGTTTATAAGACAGCCTGACATTTTATATCTAGAAAAGAATATTTTATTGCTTCTTATTCGAGAAGAAAGTGTTACTTTTTTAAACTTGCTGTATCTTCGAATCAAGGTTGTATACTCAGATCTCATCCTTAACTTATGAAACTTGTTATAGTTATTTCTTCCACTGTTTCATTTTCGTCTTGATCTCCATGAGCACAAAACGAGCATACTTCTTTACTAAATTATTCTACCTTGCGCTGTCTTACTTTCTGTGGCGCTTCGTCAGTCACCGCATCCTGTCAGTTATCGCTGCCGAGGAAGCGGGATCGTGATGCTCGCGACCTTTTTCTACATGCCAAGCTTTATAAACATATACGAATGTAGGCCTAGAAATTCGATTAGCTTTTGGTGGATTGTTTTCAGGTTAGTAGATCATTTGAATTCTAACTGTAATAACGGACATACTTTAATAATATATGGACTTTAAGAAATTGCATCACCTAATTTCATAAAATTTCTTTTTTGACCATTGTTGGTAAAAGTAATTTGAACCTGATTCCTACTTACAATTTAAGTAAAAAAAGATGAGAGAATAGGTGGCACAAACCTTTTAAACATTCACAATAAAGTGGAACAGTCCCACAAGGTTACTGAATTTATTAGAAGTGTTATTATACCAACATTATAATACACTACACTACCACGCAACGACATTTGTCAATCCTGATGAAAAGACAGGATAACCAAAAGGTGGGTCAGCTGCCTGGATGACTAAATTTCTGAAATGTGATGGATGTGCCTGGATGCTGTAACGTTCCTCATCATCATTGGTGAAGTACAGTAATTCCAAGGACAGTGAAGACCATATAGCCTTAACATTTTCGGAGTCCAGGCGACCAACGGGCACAGTCATCTTCTGCTTCGTCAATACTCGACTTGTAAAAGTTCCCTAGCAAAATAACAAGAGCTAAGGCGATTTGAAACATTTTGACACCTTAAATACACTACATACAAATGATTTGCTGTTCAAATAAATATTTCTCTGACTAGTTTCGAATTAAATTTCTGAGATTAAATTATGTAGACTCTGGTACCCAGGGTATTATTAGCGTAAAGTTTATGAAAAACGCAGTATAAATATTGCACATGCGCAGTATAATTCGAAAAGGTTATGATTATGTTCAATAGTCAAAACGTTCCATTCATTTTATTCGGATGCCCATTTCAAAAGAAAAGAGTCAGCAAACCTCGCACAAAGCCTGTTATGGAAGGTTTCGTTAGCAAGAAAGCGACCAAAACACGTGATCTTTCGACGGCATAATGATGCAGTTAATGAGTTTGAAGAGTGAATTCAGGCAAAAAAATTTTTCCTGCTCAACCCCAGCGTATCGGTTAGGTTAGAAAGCCAAACTGCTAACGGGATGTAATTAAAATATACATCATTCGATGCACAAGTTCAACCATATCAACATAATTGGTAAATATTGTAAAATGATATTTTCCAGGCAAATTTTTTGCTTAAATGTACACCGCCTTCAAAAGGTACTTTGTACCTTTGAATTTGAGGTAACAAAATCAGACTTATATCAGCAGGAATTGCATATCCTAAGCTACAAAAGTGTGTCTCAGATTACTCATATTCTTCCTCCCCTTTCATTTTATTCATTTTTTTATTCTATACACAATCCTTCAATTTTCAAAACTTCTGTCAGTTTCAAAGCCGGTATCATTGCGAGCCTTGAAAGTTCGTCTACTGGAAATTGAAGAAATGAAAAAAGCGGATGATTTCATCTAGGAACGTTTCAATAACCGATGAAGCAGGGAACATGTTTTTTGCGTCGCTGAGCCAATTTTGATCAGCGCATTGAACTAATTTTTTTTAATTTATCCACAAAGTCGAACAGAAACCTTCGGAGCATATTTTGATAAAGTTAGCAGGAGCATATTTTGATTTAGAACTGAATTTAACATGCCCACGACACGCTGTCTCGACTGCACCCAAGGATTTAGATTGTTTTCTAGGTCAAATAAAAGTTATATCAAAAGAAGTTTCACCTGAGAAGTTTCACATCAAAAGAAGTGACATCGGGGGAGGTTTTAAATATATGTCGCACATTTGCAGTTCTTTGTCTTTCGAAATATCATGAGAATTTAACAGGTGCTGACTATTCGATCATCGTATGTTGAGCAATGGAAGGAGGAGCATGCCTCTAAAAAATACTTTTCGCTAGAGTGGTTGTTATTCACTACTTCTGCTATGAACTCGTGCAGCTCGAATGAAACTTTTGCTCATCTAAACATATGGTCTAAACAATACCCGCGATTCCTGAGAAACGTGCTCTGGCATTTCAGCCTGTGCTGTTATTAGAAATTATCTTTAGTAAAGCACCCAGACCCTGTTGTGACTATCGAAATCAGGCGCTTGTTTAAGATGCTTTATTTAATTTGCAGAATTGTACTCAAAAAATGAACTTCTTTTTATGCTCTCATTACAAAAAAACTCCAATACCTCACTTCTCTTCTTCTCTCTAAAACTGATGTACTTTACTTGATACGTACATAAATACCTTCTTAAGCCCTGGTAAAACCACTAAACATTTCAATAGTGACTTTTGCTCTGATGAAGCCCTGTATGTCGGGGCGAAATGTTAGCTTCTATTAAAATGATTGTGTTTATTGTTGTTTGTTCCCGGGGCTTTGCGGTGTTCCTTATTTTATACAATTTTATTGACTTTTCTCCGCATCCATTCCATTGGAGTCTACTCTCCTCCACAGAGGCTATTGGGGAGGGGGAAATGGTATCCTATCCTTTTTCCCTCCCAATCTCCCTCCCCAATAGCTTCTGTGGAGGAGAGTAATTGGAGTCCGTCAAACAGCCTGCTACCGTGGCCTTTCTTTCATTTACATAAGTTAGGTTCTTAGTCAATTTCCCTAAATGCTACTGATAACGAGGCTCTGACGCATGCTACCAGCACAAAAAGATTAGAAAATTACTTTGACTCACAAAGCAATGCCGAAATAATAAACTAAACAGACTGTAAAACATTCAATGTAAACGACAAAACAGAAACTTTATTAGAAGTGCCCCTTTTTTCACAACCATCATGTAATGTATTGCTAAAATCTTTAAAAAACTATTATATCATGTTAAAGATAATTTACAACACCGATAACAGAAGCCAAAACTATTCCTTTGATTGTCATTTCAATTGCTTGCAGAATTTAAGATTACTGCACAGAATAGGGACCGAGTACTGTTTTTAATACAAAATCCCGAGAATTCATTTTACTTACACAAGACAAGAATGTGGTTCATAAACTTAAGTGCCAGGAACTCGATTGGTTTTAAATGTGCAACGCATTAACAAAGAAGAACAAGACTACAGTAGACACCAAATTTTGCTTGAAAATTTGTGACTGTAAACGAAGTTTGACTGTAAAAGAAGCTAAATTGAACAGTTTTGCATATTTGGTTCTAAATGTTATGTGACTGAAAATTGTATTGTGACTTGAAGCGAAGTGATTATAAGCGGAGTATACTGTACAATGTTCAGAAATAGTCAGAAAGACATTCAAGTCACGTATTACTCAACGAAAAAAGACCGACATTTGGCCCGACTTTTGCTACTTCGGATCGATAAGATACTTCAGTTACACTAACTTTTAAGTAAAAAACAAAGGTAAACGTCGAGTGCTTTAGTTTCTTAATACTTTGGAAACTTCAATACTCATTGTTTATAAAAGGTTTTTTGAACATGACATTATTAATTCTAACATTGGGTTCTTATATTTCGCTAGGAAATTCCCGAACAGAAAGTTGCTGGGGAGGGTTTTCGTAGATGCGGCTAGTCATATCGTCAGAACAGTCAGGCTCGTCAATGTTTCCATTGCTTACAAATGTTTATGATATTTCTGTCATGCGATTTGCTTCCATTCTAATGCTGTACTAAGATGAGGGAAGTGTATTCTCATTCTCTGTTTCAATCTTTGTTCCAATCTATGCCAACCAAGCCAATCATGTCGATGAATTTCTACGAACTTTTTGAGTTCTAGACTTTTACAAAATTCTATTGTTTCGTAATTTTTTTGCTTCGAGTATTGTTTCTTAATATTTTTATTGCGATTTTTATTGCGAGTTTCTTATGAAAAAGAGCGTGTCCATGATCATATCAACGGCATCAAATATAGCCACTTCCTTTTGTGTGCACCCGGCATCACTGGAGCATGTAATGTTAAAGAATCAACAATATACATCTATGGAAGATGTAAAGAAGAGGGTTCACTATTTGTGCCAAGTTTTTCATTGAATTTTGTGTGAGGAACTCCGGCCACTTTAACTGAGACCACCTTATCTCATACCACCTTAACACAAACCACCTTGACACAGACCACAGAAACTCAGACCAGCATACCCCGCTCTTTTAATTTTCATTGCGAAGGGGCAATTTACCTATTAATTTCGTAACGCAAGTGAAAATTCTTGTACGTGCCATGATGTCGCCTGTGAAGCCTGTTCTATTCGTAGTTTAGAGAAGTTCTATAGACCCCATACAAATCGGTATCTGACGTAATAGAATATTATCTTTGTGAACAGGGAGACATCTCTTTTTCTCTCAGCTTCAACGTCAAAAACAAGGTCATGACAGCGCGGAAATTAAGGAATAATATACTCACGTTATCTTTGTCATATCCGACGGACAGCAGACTTGGGACATTATTTAGAACGGCATTTATCCACTGCATGTCGTGATCATTTCCCATGTGCCAGTTCTCTTCATAATCCGTCAAGTATTCCGCGAACTCTTCAAAGTCAGCAATGGGGCCAAGGACAGCTTCATCGTACATCAACTTGAAAGCATATCTGTTATTGCAAAAATGAAAAGATGTGTGTTATCAGACAAATATTATACAAAGCTTTTAAGAATCACTAAAATCCCAGCCAAAAGTTCTTGGAAGACTCTGTTGCTCAAAGCTCTTTTGGAAAACTTCAATATGATGGCTAATTGAAAAGAATCGATAGAAAAAGACCGAAGCTCTCTAACTGGAGAATGAAATGCCTACACTTTATTAGTTTAACAAACAAAAAATAATTTCGAATTATTTCGACTTTTTCAACAGAGAAAATGACACGTTATGAAAACTCCTGTAGAGATCACATATACAACCTTATACTGTTTTAATTTTGATAACTGTGTAAATCTTGAGCCAGTACAAAAAGCATACAAGTTGAACCAATCGTTGACTATCACTTGGTCAAACCCACCCATCATTTATTATCCAACATTCGCTCTAAGATGTTTGGAATTTTGTCGATATTAAGAGAAGGCCTTTAATGGAAACACAAAAATGACAGGCATATTTGATAAATAAAATAAAATAAAATTTATTGCATCTGCCTTACCTAAATGCTATTATGATTTGTTGATGCAGCTCCGTATCCTGTTCGGCCCAGTACAAATACCTTGACCATGGTAACGAGCCTGAAAATATTTTCCAAACATCAAGGGCACTTTTATGCTTCTGCTCATTGACTAAAATGTAGCAAGAAAGAACCAGTTTACGGAAAATGAAGAAGAGGCCACGATCTGCGGATATGCTTTGCAGAACCCGTTCTCCTTTTGATGAAAGGTCCAGTTGCGAAATAACGAACTTAAACCAGTCTTCGCAAAACAGATCTTGGGATGTGGAAATATCTGTAGCTTCAACCGGTATAGACTGCTTCCATCTTACGGGAGGTTCTACAATTGAAGAATGTGGGGAACTGACATCTACTACCAACGATGGTAGAGCATTTGACTTGGTAAATCTGCTTTGAGGGATCAAATCAGATGTAGGAGTGCTTTCTGTTTCGAATATGTTATTAACGTTATTTTTACCGTCATTGTCTACATTATCAATGCTGTGAGAGGACCCGCGGCGAGGCAGATTATCGTCAAAATCATCAAATCCAAAGCCATCAAAGTCATCGTCTGATACAAAATTAGGCCCTTTGAAGCTACTGCGCTTTGCCGAAGCTGTCTGAGGCTGCTTTCCAAATGGCGGGAAACTAACAGAAGGCAGGCCTACTTCGGTTGGTATCGAGGATTGTGTATTAGCTTGGCTACCTTTCAGAGGCTCGCGATTGCTCCATAATGCAGTCATGCTGTTCTCAGACAAGGAACTTTTTGAATACAAGCTGGATGATCGATCGCGCAAAATGCCCTCAACGCTGTCATTTCTACTTACTACAATGGTTTCTCTGGTCTCGTTTGTAAGTGACGACGTAGTTTTGACATGACGATTCTTTTCGCGTTCCAAAAATTTCTTTTTCAGGTCGTCTGCAGTAGGCCCATCACCTAGTCCACGATCTCTTCTGCTTTTAGAAAACCGAAGAAAAACCCAAGTGAGTGATTTTATGAAATGCCCTCCGAGATTCTGTAGGTTTTCAGGGCTGTCAATTATGCCTGTTAAAACATTCTTGGCATCAGAGTAAGTTTCCAACTCAAAGTGGTCGAATGGCGTCAAACAGTGCCCAGGATAGGGATTCAAAACAGGACGTGGTTTCTCTCCAAGAGTGACCTCGAATATATCATCAATCCGTGCAGCTTCAACGGTATGACAAGATGTCTCAGCGAGCTCAAGTCCCTTAACGATGAAATTCGTATAAAGAAAGCCTCTTTCGGCGACTACTAGCCATATGAGACGGTCTTGAAAGCGGGCTAGGAAATGCTCGCCGGGTGCTAGTTCACCAAGGCTTCCAGAAGAAATTGTACATTTAAGACTGTCGAGGAGACTTGGCATTAGCTGCTTGTAATAGATCCAGTCATTCGAAGATGAATTAAGTTTATTGTCAGCATATGGGAAGAAAATACGCGGCCTTGGGTACCCCATTAGAAATATCGGTAGCGTAAATAATGGTAACATTGGGACACAAAAAATAACACTGAGGCAAAAGAAACAAAGGGTTAACGGGAACATTAGTACCAAAACTAACGCTACGCGCTTGTAGCTCTGGTGGCGTACCTTCCGATTAAAGAAAAACCTGTAAGTGAAGCGTGTACAAAAAGAAACAAGGTACCAGGCGTGCTGTATCCGGCCTAAGATGATCGAAATCAGAAACAACCGTGTGTGCAACGTGAGAACATTCCACCAAGTCGCTCCCAAAGAGCTGTATTCGATCACCATCATAACAGAGGCATCCATTGCTAGCCTCTGCTGACCTCGCCAAGCCTGTAAAATCATTAAATACCTTGCTTTGATATGAGAGATGGTGAAAAATGTATATTCAAGAGTAATTTCGTAACAGACTGGAAAAAGAAGATTTAAGCCAAATTGGAACCGTAAGCCAATTTTAATTTGCAGGGGTTCAAAATTTTTATGAATATGAGTCGGTAAATCTTGACTTGTTCGACCAAATCCTTAGTTGGTCGTTAAAACGCCTATGGGTATATGAAATAGCACCTAAAGTATTCACCCTCTATATCTTTATCGGCAAATGTTACTAGTAATCACCCTCCACACCCCCAGTATGAAAGATAAACCTACGTAGATTGATTTCAATGGACGGGTTTTACAGTGTCCATTGGCTACAGGCATGAAATTAGAAAAGCAACTTGATAAACTTTATTTTGTTAAACGTTCACATGAGAACGCTTTAAACGTAACATTTCATTCCAAAAAATGAAAAGTTTTCAAAAGTGGTTCGAAAAGTGGAACTGGTCCGAAAAAGGAATGATTACTTATTTGGCTAAAGGCTTGCATTGTTCATATGGAAATACGACAATGGAAAACTCTTTGTTCAACTTTCACACAAAAAGTGGAACGAAATGATTGCGTTATCGTGTGCACAGAAGAAAAATTAGTACGTAATCGTTCCGTACCCGTATGAGCAGTTAATTTTTTGTTCCAAAATTTGAAACGCTATCGTTCCCGTGTGAACGGGGCCTAAGAATGTAACATTTGTTTAAACCATTTCAATGGTTTATATCGTTAATTCCTTTTTGATCAACTTGAATAGGCTCAAAATTGATAAAAAATCAAATCTATGCAGCCACAGGATGTGAAATCTGAATTTGGCAACTTACGAGATGATAAGCTCTAAATGCAAACAATGCAAACAACACGTCTGATTGCGTAGAACTGCCGCTTGTTTTTGTAGCTGTTAAACTCACAAATGCAACCAAGACAAGAGGTGTAACTAAAAAGAAATGCAATAATCACAAATATGCATTTTTGATAAATGGCGGGTTCAAAAATAAATAAAGTTTCCTAAACGACTTCTGTTGATGTTCTTCCTCAGTCAATGCATTAAAAATTTAAACCATTTGAAGTAACTTTACAATGCTATCTCCAAAATCTTATTGTTCATAAAAATTACGCCATATAATACTTTTAGTGACTTTTTAAGACTACATAATTATTCATCAATATCAGGTCTTATTCAGGTTGATTCAAAATCTTTGAGTTGGATGAAATAGAGAATTTATCTTTGGAAACAAATGGGGAGGACTTCTGTCCCATTAAGTCAAAACTTCAATCCAACCTTCACAAGGCACCATTGAATATGTAATAATTTATCAGTGCAAGCAGTTTTGTAGATAACTCACCACAGTCCACAAGAAGCTTTCTGCACAGCACCAGCAGTCTTTTTGCTTTCCCTTTCTTTATAGAAAAGTACACTGGGTTTGAGACCAAGCCAAAGAAAATATACACTGTCAGCAAACTGCCACAACAAGTTTCTAAAACCAGGAGGGCTATTGTAACATATCCAAATATATCACGAAGTTCCATTTTTTTACTGACTTCAAGCCCAGCATTTGTTAGAGATGCAATAAGACCAGACGCAATGATCAACAATATAATATAACAACATTTGCTCAGGGAGTATGATGATGTATTAGCTATCTTTTGGCTTTCAGAGCGTCTTCTAAACTTCATCAAAAGCAATACAAGAACTTTCTTGAGTCCAGTAGCAATGTCCAAGCTTGTGATAAGGCCAGAGCAAGCAGCTATAGCTAGTGATGCTGTAGTATTTGGAACTGCATAAGTGATAAGCCAAGCAATGCATGAAATGACCAGCATAGTAAGCAACCTGAAATCCAGATAAGATAAACTGAACAAGATAAGAAAAACAACCTACACCTAAATATGCTCAAAGATAGCTTCATATAAAAACAGTATTGCAAAAAAGGTCAAAAACCCTAAAATTTTAAAAAAGAAAAAGGAAAGAAGTTGAAAGTTTTACCAGGGGGTGGGGGGCGGGTACTGTCATTTAGGCTTGACAGGGGGGTCCAGTCAATTTGAGGGTTTTACCAAATGGCCCAGTTTTGATATTAACACAACAGCTTAGTTTAGCTTGGGATTTATTATAGATAATGAACAAGATTTTGTCTTTCCCAAATCAACAACAGTCAATGGTGAAGGAATTTGTCAAAGAAGGACCAGGCGCACATAAAGAAATGGGTGCTACCCAGGACACAATTTTGGTCCTTATGCTACCATTTGAGGGTTATTGTCAAAAAATAGTACCATTTGTGGGTAATTTTTTAACATTTTAGCTTTGGCTCTCTTTGACCCTAACTTGACCCCCTCTCCTGTGAGGCCATAATAGGAGTAGCCTGACTCGGGAAGTTTGATAACAGTCAATTTTTTAATAATGATGCTTTGGTGCATAGAGCATGATGGTTCTAAGTTGAATCTCCAAGTGTCATGCTTATTGCAATCATCAGACAACTGTTAGGCTACTATCTATGTAGTTTTCAATTTATTGAGCCGGTATGTCCATGGATTCTTAATTACTTGTTGGTGTTAATAAAGAGGAACTGTTAGACACTAGGGGCTTATTTTGATGTCTGTGTTTATGAATATATTTGGATCTTTCGTTGACGATTCACTTTTTGTCAGAATCAATGATTGCAAGTCTTTCTTCAAAACAATGTTGACATTTTTAAGAATTGTTAGAACAGACCCTTGCCCTTCCCCTAAAAGATCACTTAATAAAAAACGTCCTTTCTTTTCCTTCTAAGCTGCCATGCAAATATGGATAGTTCTGTGATTTTTTTAAGTATCTGATGTGAAAAAGAGAAAACAGCAAAGAATCAGAGTATAATGGGTTATTGAAGATACAAAATAATTGAAAGTTGCCATTGATTTCATTCTTTGAGATTTCAATATCTTTGCTAGAGTAAGTACAAATTTAGTAAATTCATTATCTGAAGTAATAAGCTAACAGGTTAAAAGAAAAGTTCTGCCAAGGATTTCATCTTTCCTGTATAATTCAAAACTTTAGACTTACCTTACACTATTTGACATTGGCGATCCTCCAAATAAATAGACTAAAGCTTGTTCTCCAAACCAAGCAAAAAAGCAATCAACTGGAGGAAGGATTCCAAGGGTCCATAAAACTGGCAGCAATGCAAACAATATTCTCATTATGAGGTCCACGTACACTAGTTTGTAATAGAATCTGAAATAGTACACAAAGATAAAAAAAGTTTCTTCCGGTTTACAGAAATGCTATTCTGTCATAATCTGTGATGAGATTTCCTGAATTGATCACGAGCATTTGTATTGTTTGAAATTAATGTAAATTAATAACAATTAAAACATTATTTGGCTTTTTGATGTCATCAATTTTTTGTTTAATCATGAAGGAGCTTGTAAAGAGAATCTGTGATGGAAATAATAAGGGGGGGGTCCCCCATTATTTCATATAACTCTGGAAATCTACATCTTATTACTATGTAATCCAGTCACAGCATTTCTATCAATAAATGTTTGCTAAAAAGAATTCACGAAGATCACTTAACCAGTCTTTTGGATAGTAGATGATACCATATAAGCAGACACCACATATAAGGCCACACCTACAGAAAACATTTCATGTCCAATTCAGCCATTTTCATATCTTAACCCCCCCCCCCTTAGCTAAATACAGTTACGATGGCCCTTGAGATGACTTCTAAATGAGAGATATATTTGAACTTACGTGGAAACAATTCCAAAAACAGCAAAACATGCCATGTGAAATGGTCTTGTCAGACAAGAAGTTTCATATTGATCAGTGGCTTTAAACTGACAAGGTTCAGCTGGTGGTCGTGCTATCAAGCTATACAACCCTATGCAGGCAACGATCCAACCCATAACATAATATACCACTGCTTCTTCATTTCTTCCAAAAACATATCTGCTGCTACTTGGCAACAAATACAAGAAGATTATTCCACAAATGATTCCATAGAGAAAGGCATGAAAGAAAACATTGGAAATATACTTCTTTTTGTGAATAATAAACTTCAGTGATTGGTTTATGTCAGTGCATCCTTGAAACTCAATTTCATTATCATCATCTTCACAGTCAAACTGGAATTCTTCAACAGGCTTTAATGTTTTTGACTTGAGACGGAGACCCAAATGCAAAGAAAGCATAAAAATGACCATGATAACACCAAAAACAACACATATCCAGTAACTTGCTACCAATCCAAGTTCAGTGACAATGGCTAGACATGATGAAATGACAAGTGGAGCTGCAAATATTAGAAACTGGTACAAATAAACATATGACGGCAATGGTTGTCTTCCTGTGTCTACCTTTATGATTGGTCCACCAAGAATAGTTTGTGGGAGCCTTTTGAGAAAAAATTCTTGCTTGTACTCATTTAATATAGGTGATGTTTCAGCGGAATTCTCCATCTTGATCACCTCTGGTGCTATTATTACTTTCTGGAAAAAAAATTCTTGATAGCTATCCAGAAATGAGGAGTTCTTCCTATGTAGTTACCTAACAGCACCAATACCTTACTGATGCAACATTTCCCAAACATAAATGTCAATTGACATTTTATCATATGAACTGGATATTTTTCGTTCCAGCTCTGTTGGAGTGCAACTTTCTAATGCAATGGTGGGACAATTGACAGGATCTTCGTGTTTTCTTGCCATACCACCAAGTTTCGGATCGTTTATAATTCTAAGTATGAAGTTTGTGGTTCTTTGCAGTGATATCTGCAGAACATAATCGAGAAACCATGCAAGATGAGGTAAGCCACTTGCTCGCAATTGTAGAAGTTCTACAATTCAAGCCTTTCCAGTTGTTCTCACCTTTATTTTTTCATCTATCATTTTATGAAAATGGCTTCGTCTTCATTGCCATAAATAGCTGTTCTGAAAGCATAATACCGAACAGACTTTGTAATAAGTTCTCTCGAGCAATTTTTCAGTCACATTTGTTTGTGGCAAGTCAATAATGGCCTGAACTTTAATGTCTGCGTATCAGTGATTTCTCTCTCCAGGCAACCAGTTACCATGCGTATATTTTGATTGAAGTGAATGAACTGAATAGACACAATTCAACAGGGAAACAAGCAGATTGAAAACTGAATTGTTTGAATTAATCCATATACATTATTACGTGAAATAACGGGTGTGATTTGCATTTATATGCCAAAATCCTTAATTGATTAAACTGACAAACATTATTGAATTAATTCATCAATTAGTATTCCTCAATTGATCTTACTCAATTTTTTTTCGCATAGTAAGGTATTTTATGTAATTGTCTTGCAATGCAGTGGAGTGAGGTTTATAAGGTTAACGATTTCCTATAAAGTCCAGAAACATTGGATCAGAATGATAGGGCTTCAAATGATAGGTGTTATGCAAAATAAAGTTCAATCCCCAAAAAAGGGTAATATGCTAAGATTCAATTATCAGGACCCTGGGAATAGAGTGACCTTTTCATAGGAAGAAAACTGTATCAGTTCTTTCTTAATGAATCTGAAACCCTTTAGAACCAACCTTTTGGAAGTTTTCATAGAAGAATACCCGGCGTTCTGGACCTGGCGGAGAAGAAGGGAATAATCGCCCAGCAAAGATGCTTAATCAATTTTAAGATTTTAACTCATTTCCATTTGAACTGTTTTTTTTCATTGATTACCTTCAAATACGCAAAAACGAGACTTCAAAAACGAGAAAGAAGTTGATGGCCGCACAACATTGTGCGCGTGAACATCATTTTTTGAAATCAGCGCCCTCGAATTGACGAAATCAGCGTTCTCGGGCGACCACCCCCCTATTCTCCGCCTGATCTATTCCAACATCACGCTGTTTTGCTTCAAAAAATTCCAGAAAAAATATAAATTTTAGGAATGCGTTGATGCCATTACAATGCCATTGTAGTGGAAACTTCACAAAATCTACTACGTTTGTGAAAACTGCAGATTTTCGATTGATAATACTATTTTTGAGATGCTGAATCCGAAAAATTTTTTATAGCCAAAAACATCCAGGAAACATCGATTCCCGGCATGCATTGAGCCTTTCCTTTGATGCAAAATTAGTATCAAAATCTTAAAAATCGCTGAATGTTACGAACCAGAAAACCTCCAGGAAATACTAATGTCCTGCGTGAATTGATCGATAAGATGCAAAAATAGTATCAAATTTATGAAATCTTTTAGATATACTCTAAACCTATCTTATAGTGTAAGACCATTAAACTATATTTGCGGTGTATAATCCCAAAAAATCGATGCTTTCAATTGAAAATTTTCCAAAAACTATGAATAACGACAAATGCGAGGTTTGGAAACTTTTTGTTCGGATTTAGCACCACAGATTAAAAATTCATGCTGTAAAGTAAGGTAGATATTAACGATTTTTGTGACTATGATGCTAAATTGAAATCAAAGACATCAGTGCATACCAGTACAGTAACAGACGTTACCTGGAATATTTTGGCTTGGAAATGTAATTTTTAGGATTCAGTACCTCGAATATTCTATTTTCACTCTAAAAATCTCATCTTAAAGTAAACACGATCGATTTTCTGATTGCAAAACCATTATGGCATCGCACCGAAGGCATTTATGCATACTAGAAATGATGTTTTCTGAAAGCTTTTCAATCAGTTTTGATGCAAAGAAATAATAGTTAATCAACTCGGTCCAAAAACCTATTTTTCTCGAATTTCGTCCTCGTGTAAACCATAACAGCTTCCTGTGGGCTGAGAGGAGAACTTCCAAAACCACTTAAACAAACAGTACCATTGTCAATAATTAAAACATATGACATCTGATCATACAAGATCGAAATTGATTTGCTAGTAAACATCGATGTTTTATTTCGTAGGGAGACTATTACCTCGCTATGCGTATAAAAATGGGACTTCAAGAAAAATCTATTGTCGGATCACCATGGCTGTTCTGACACCGTGAGGAAAATTTTACTTTTAGCAACTGGGTTTGTGACATATAACTGACTAAAGGTCGATTCATGCATAGAAAGTTCGATTCCAAAACCTTTCTAGAGACATCTGTTTATTTCATTTTTCTACTGCTCATATGAAGACTATGATGTTTTTATTACTTTGATAATGAGGAACTAGCCAACAGACCCGCATAATGGTAAAGTTGCCATGCTTGCCTCTAAGTGGATGCGAGAAAGTGAAGGTTTTATGTGCAGATAAAGAAAAAGAGAAAGTTGAAGACGATGCGCAGCAGAGAGCCGAGCGTAAAAAACACAACGACAAGAGCAGGTATTCAAATGGTGCTTGGGAGAAAAAAAGCGAAGAAGACAGGGTTTGTTTAAAAAAAGATATAGTTACAAAGAGGGTTCTTGATAATTATCATTTAAAAGCAGAGCCTTTGCAAAGATACCCCTCAGTAAATCGTCAGTCTCTCCCTACAATTCCTGAAAGACGTCGCCAGCGTATCACAGAAGTGCAGCGTAAGAAAGCATGTAATTTGCCATTTATCCATCTTCACAAGAAGTCACTGCAAGATACAAAATCAATGGCTTTTTGGAGAAGAAATGATCGCCCTGTAAGTGACACAAACACGGTCTGGAGTGGCAAAGGAGATTTGAATGAACGGACCTCTCCAGACTTCTAGCAAGGTTTACAATTTCTTCAATAACTTAATCGGCTTTTGATAAGTATGAAAATCAAAGAGAGTTTTACCATTTCACATAACAGATCATTCTTCTAAATGAGAAGATGGAATTGGTCGACCAGAATCAACTCGAAGTAGTTGCCTTTTTTCATGAAGCAACGAAACTATGACTAAGTGCTTTCAGGCAATGATAAACAGAACAGAAAGATGCAGAAGCGGACTGGCCCACCGGGACACCGGGAAATTTCCCGGCGCGCTCTTTGCCCCAAGTTTTTTTTTCAAAAACTTGAAAACCTTCAAAAGGCAACTAATCTTCAAAAAAACTAAAATTGATTACAATCATCGATTGACCTTCTGTCTAAAGTACGTTTCCATAAAAAGTTTAGCTTCGCTTTTAAGTTGAGCAAAATTAAGATTAATTGCTAAGTTTCCCGATCTTTGTTATTGTAAAATTCATTGAAGACGCAATTTTGATCAGCAAATTCTGTAAGGTTTTTTGAAAACCTTGAAAAGAACATATTTTATTTTGAAAATGGCTTTGAAAAAAGCAAAAATTTTAAACATACTCAAATCTTTTTCGTATGAAACTTCTGAGAGCATATAACGTCAGAATGAGGGTCCAAAAGAACAAGATGGAAAATTCGATCCAGAAATTGGTACTTATTCTCCATCTTGTTCATTCTGACCCTTATTCTGACGTTTTATACCCTTAAGTGGTTCAGACGAAAAGGCTTTTAGTATGTTAAAAATGTTTGCTTTTTTTGAAGCCATTTTCAAATTTAGTAGCGCCAAAAAATTGTTCATATGTAGCAGCCAGAAAGCCTACTCTCACTTCCAACCCTCGTTAGCTTTTAATTTTTCACGCAAGTGCGCAATACTTGAATTAATTTGATAGCTATTGAGGTGACTAGTAATTTTGTGAAACCCATGACTTATGACTAACAATATTAGCTGTTTGACTTATGGCTGACGCAAACTATTCCTAGCGCCTGACATCCAATAACTGGGGGCTCGCACTTTGGAAAGATGAATTGAGCACTACCCTGTACTCTTTCCAATCAAAATGGTTATAACTGGATAAAATTATCGATCTGTTGGCTATTAGGTATGGAAACGTTCACATATTATGCAATCAAAGATTGGTTGAGCCATAAACTATCCCTTAATAGTGAAAACTGTTCTAGGTACGATAGAGGACAATACTTTCTGAGCGTCCTAATGGTGGCAAGCTATTTTATTTTGCAATTCAACTAAAAACTCATAGGCATCATGCTCTTTGTACGTTACAATCAAGAATTTTGTGCCCAAAATAAATTATGACTTATTGGAGCCAAAAATCTTGACAACTTTTCAAAAAACTTTATACGGAATTTGTTGAGAATTCATGCCCTCATGTACGAACCTTCTTTAAAATTTAATGGAAAGTTAAATCGGCTTTTTTGAAAAAAACTGGTTTCAAATTTACAACTACCTATTAAAGCATTCCAATCTTCCTTCAAACTTTTGTTCCGGAATAGAGACTGTGCCTTTTCTTAAGAAATTCTTTATCCTTTTTATCTTGTCTACGCACAGTTTCTCATACAGAAGGAGCCTTCAATCTGCAAAATCATCAATTTGTGCAAAACGGACGGCAGCAGGGTCTCTTAAAATCAATTTGTCCAAGATATGTTATCAGATACTTTTCGGTCTACAGTTTTAAGCATATGTTCAGTACCTGATCATAATTCCGCACGCTGATGCACTGGCATCATATCTTTTGTAACTCTAGCGTAGAGGCAGGAGCAACACAGTCATTAGGGTAGCAGGTGCTGAGGCACCCCTTTACTTTTTTAAAGATGCTGCAAAACTTTCGAAAATTTATGAGAATGAAGTCATGTATTTCGTCAAATTTCTAAAGATTTCGTGATCGATTTTAATCGAAAAGAATCTCGTCTCCTAGGCCAGAGAAGTTGCTTTCTTTGTAAAATCTTGGAAGATAGTGTCTCGCTAACTGAAAAATCATCATTTGATACCTAAAATTGAGGGCAATACATGATTTGGTACCTACAAATTTTGTCAGCCGTATAGACGTTTCAAATAAAGTCAATTTGACTGAGAATCTTCTTCATGCCAATGCCAATTGTGAATAAAAAACTTTGATATTCTAAATAGGGTGATTTCAAAAAATTTTCCGGGGCCCGTCCCCCGATCCCCCGTTTCCTTTCCTGTGACAATGCTTGCAACAAACTGATTCTCAGCTAAAGCAAAGTTTTTCCGAGCCCGTTTCACAAGCCCTGAAGTTTTGTGACTTTAGCACCTATTGGCGCCCTTTTGGCTGCTTTTCCCGATGGGTCAAATAGTTGCCAGTCCGCCACTGGCAAGATGTTATGTTAGAAGATTCCAAGTTAAAAGACACGTAGTTTCCAAGTTACGCTTTTGCAATGTTAATCTTCAAACTGGTATTTGCTAAACTTTCTCCTGCTAGTGCCCACTATTTGTTTATAGCTAACTTTAATGATTCTAAGATTATAAAAATTATGAGAAGATATTATAAGACTAAATTGACAAGACCTCTCTCTGCAAGACGTCTGCACTTGATGAAAGTATACTTGCTCGTTTATGACAACAGCAGAGCTAGGGTTCTAGCATTGCACTATTATATTTATTCTGTTCTGCCAGAATCAATAAAATTTATCTGTTGGAGTAACAGATTATTAAGAATTTTCGATTTACAACATTTTAACGAAAAAATTGCCAACACGTTTCTCTGTTACCATAATTGCCGCATCAAAATACCCAGGCAACTAACTCGAAGTAAACAAAACATGATCCACATCTCTTGTGACCGGGTTCGGGTATGATAATTCAATTGGATAACATGGACGGTGCAAGAAGATTAGTCAATAGGAGATGACATATTTTCTTCAGTATCTAAAGCTCGAGGGAAGTCTGACAGAAGAATCTTGCTGACTTAATTTATTACCATTTGATTTCGAGGAGTCTTTCTGTGTAAGGATTCGAAACAGTGAAAAGCAGAAAAACATTGCTTTCGAAGCTTTGGAATCGGAAGCTACATTTAGAATGTTCTAGTTAAACGAGAGCCGAAAAGTAACAATGCACACATCGGCTAGCTACCTCTTTGGCTAGATCTTTACAATCTTAACCAAATTCATACACTGGCAAGATGAAGCATGAAAATATAGAAGTAATGGACATAGAGAAACTGGCTGCTGAATACTGTAAAGTTTATTAGACATAGAAACGGTGGGTATCAATGGTTTATATAAATTCTTATGATACAAGGTATCACTTTACTTAGTATTCCGTCAACTTAAATCCACTTAAACAGATTGGATGGAGGTTAACATGCTTCCCCCTAGCTTGTCTTGGCTTTATTAGCCTGGGCCTTTAGTAACCTGTGGAAGCTTTTTATCTAAATAATTCTTTCTATCAGTTTTCGAGAGTTCAGCCAGGTGACAGAACAGGAAAACCTCTATGATGCACAGACCAAGTTGTTGTTGAGTAAGCTTTTGGAACTTTAGAAGTTTATCTCAAACATGAACATTAACTCGAAAGGAACGAGCATGGATATTCATCATAACATAGGTCAGAACCAATTAAGGCTTTCTGCAATTGGAAACTGTCAGATTTTTATATTGTTTACAGAAAACAAAGTGCATTAAGGAAAACTGTTTTCCGTCACACACGCAATCTGCCATAAAGATTTCTTTTCTGTGGCAAATTCTAGAAGTTTTGTAGGATCAAATTTGCAATAGCTTTGAAGCAAATGATCAATTAAAGTTGAGAATAGCAAGTGTGTCTCATCCAGGTCAGGAGCGTTAAATTATGCATAGGTTTCCACCTTTAACTTACTAATCATCAAAACATATGCTGCTCATGAATTAACATAAATAAGCAATGAAGACAGCAGTGGCGGCTCTTGCTAATGGGCATCTGGGGCAATGCCCCCTCAAAAAGATTCAAAGGAAATCTATGATATTCATATTTAATTTTGAAGATAGTCTTACTGTGATTAATTATATAAGTTTGTATCTCTTCTAGAAAAAGCTCCTTGCTATCCAGTCTCGTCCTTAGCCTCGCTTCTGGCCTGCTAGTGCCTTGAGCGATGATGTCATTTTACGGGCAAAATTTTTTTTGCCCCTAGCCGAGCATTTTGCGCACAAGCCAATTTTCGACCTCGAGCATTGCGAAACGCGGCCTGTGATTGGCTTATTTGGAGGAATTCGGGGCAAGAAAAATTTTGCCCATAAAATGACATCATCGCTAAACAACAACCACATCTATATATGCGTTTTCTTCTGCGCTCCATGACGATCAACATCGAACCATGAATACAGTGAAAAATTTGCAAACGCTGTAGCAATATTTATGGTCTGCCCTCCCAACTGTGAAAGTCACGAGCCGCCACTGGAAGACAGTTTATTTTCCATTAAGCGAAAACACTACAAAATGCTGAAGTCCTAAACTGAGTTTAACTTCCTTAAAATCCGAAACGTTGAATTTTCTGGTTGTCCCTTCTTTTTAAAATCATCCAACATTCTTCATGTCAGGATAGCTGGACTGCACACTAAATAGGTTAATAACTCTGTTAGCAAAATGCTACAGAAAGACCAAGCATTCATATAGGGGTCAGGGTCAGCGGGGTTTATTTGGGGAAAGATACAGTTACAAAGAGGGCTCTGAACAATTATGATCTAAAAGAAGAGCCATTTACTTGGAAGTACAGCATAAAAAGGCTTTTAATTTGCCGTCAATCCATGTTCACAAAATTCGATGTCAGAAACAAAATCAATGGCCTCTTGGAAAGAAAAAGATCTCCATCTAAATTTCCATCTAAATTTGGAACTGAATTTAGGATGAATTTGGGACTTTAGGCAAAATTTCCACGCAAACACATAACACATATTGTGTGCAGCTGCTTCATCTGCTCATGTGGAAGTTCACTATAAAATTTCACTATAAATTGATCTGACGGTGGCGTAACAAGATGGGGTGGTGGGTGGGCGCGGGGAAGGGAAGGTCTTTTTTCTCTTACTCTTTGATTGCATATATACCGTAAAAAGGGCCGTTGAAAAGTGTGGTGAGGGAGGAAGTGTTAGAGGGCTAGAGCATCAAAAAATCTCTAGTAGTGTATACATTTTCAAACATAAGCTCAAAATTAATATATTTTGAATTTTCATCTTCTAAAATTTGCTAAGGCTATGTTCAAGACAGACACAAAATAGTCAACATGTTCTGCGCCCAAGAGTTTGTTATCTGTTGCTCCTAAGTATCAAATTTTAAAGATTTATTAAAAGCGATAAAAAGTTCGTCCATAAAATGTACGCAATATCTGTCAAAATCAATTGAATGGGCATTCTCAAGTGGCTCAGGACTTCACTGGAAGCAGTTTATTCGCGTTTTAATAAAATAATGACATATATATGACAAAAATACTGCATATCATAAAGTAATATAATAATTGTATAACAATAATAAAATTTATTTATAGCTAGCTAGAAAGTAGCTAGTGCTGATAAAGGCCAATTTTACCCTATTTAAAATAATCGATTAAATCCCATTGCGGCAGCTACACCGGACCCTTTCAAACCTCTTATTTTATTTTGAGCTCATTTTCTGCTTATTTGCCTGTAACAGCCGATTACTGTATTTGTATTATTACCCTTATTTGCATTGATAGATAGAGATGTATTAGCTTACTTTTTAATTTCCGTTTGTTATCTTATTAACAGGAGGCGAAGTTGCCTGCTGCCATAAGACTGACTTAAGTTATATGTCGTACAAGGTTAAGTGATACAGTTGAAAGCCGAATGAGCAGAGAGCGAGACAGAGAGAAAATACACTGATATAAAATGTTAAACATTATTTTTGCAAAAATAGATGCTTTTTGTATTTTCCATCTCTATGGTATTTTCAAGGATTAGCCAAATCAATAAATTTCCGTCTTTTGTTATTGAGAGAAACTTTGCAATTAAATGAATTGAGTTGAATTGAATTGAATACACCAATTCGACTCACGGCCTCGTTTTGAAACTTTCTCCTAACCTAATTATACGACTTTTTGGATCTCAAATTTGGTTTTATCACCATAATCTTAGGCCGGATACAATTTTTCATATTGTTTCAGCTTGTATTTAAGATTTTACGGAGAAATGAAATTTGAAAACTTGTAAGAGATTTGACCGCAAAAATCTTTCGGGGGGAAACTTTACCCCCCTAGTCGCCAATCACGGTCAAATCCCTTATAAATTTTCTATCTTTTTGTCGTCATAAAATCAATATCGTGAGCATTACCATAATGAAAACTTCCAAGTATACTAAAATCATTGCTCGCAATCCGAATCTGAGGTCAAAAATTTTGTACAAAATAATTTGAAGAATTTTTCAAAATGAGGCCGTAAGTCGAATTGGTCTATTGAATTGAATTGAATGGGTTTAAGGAAGAAAGTGTGGAGTTAAGGTGTAGCATATAAACAATATTGTGATTGTGTCTGAAGTGTGATGGTCGCTCCATAATGTTACCAAGCTACTGTCCAGTTTTGCATTCTGACGAGAACCAAAAATGAGTGACTCAGAAGAGAAACGACAAAATATTAAAGGTAACTTGAACGCAGATTATAAGAATTTGGCCTGAATCAAATAGTTTCAAAGATGATTCTCCCTTGTTTTGGTGACTGGTGTGTGTTGAAAGCATGCACAGTGAAAAATTGTGCAGGAGGTTTTAAATAACTTGGCTGATTTGTGTACCAAGTCTGTAAATGTCTGTTGATGAGCCAATTCGACGTGTTTCTTTGTTAATTCGAATATATTATTAGCTTCTTAAAAAATTTTTCTTTTAAATTTGCACATGATAGAATGACAGATGATCAAGCCTTCATCGTTTGGTACTAGTCATCTAAAGCAATGAATGGCTGGAGCAAGCTAGAACATAGGGCTTTAGATCTCTGTTTTTTATAAATAGTTAATTGTTCAATCTTTGATGTTTTTAAGAATCTCTTCTTACCCCAGTAACAGTGTGTACTTCTAGGGGTGCCAGAAGCACAGGGGCAGTAGGGGCAGTACTGTGCCCTTGTGAAAGTGGTACTGTGTTTGTGTGAATGGAATAATTATATAAAATCGCAAGTTCTTGGGAGAGATAACATTAGTGCGGTTAGGAACAAAATGAAAGCAATTAAAACATTGAGTTCATTTGTTATGAACTTATATGCAATAATGCAATTTCTTTCAGCAACACTCTAAAATGTAGGAAAGTATTGTGGAATAAGGTGAGAGGTGTAACGGAGGCATCTGGGGTCCTAAGGGAAAACTGAGATGGTGCCTTTGTTAACAGATTGTAGTAGAGCATGTCAAACACTAATGCAATATGGAACACTAATTCAAATTTAACTAAGCCTAATTTTGAACGGGGAGGTGCCATTTTGGTTAAAAAATTTGGACCCATAATTCTGCATGTGTCTGAAAAAATGTGACCCATAATTCCGCAAACATGGTGAAAACAATACCCATTACTCCGCAAAACAAATAACATTTTTAAACCACAACAAAATCATCAAACAAATTTTGCATATCCTTTGCCAAAAATCTCAATATTACACATATTTCATACTTTCATTTCTAACTGAACATTCATTTTGCTAAAGCTCAATCTCCCTCCTAATAATTTTGCAATATTTTTCAAAGATGGTACCCATAGCTCTGCACATATTTCAAAAACTCAAACTAATACCAATAATTCCGCACTTTTCAGAAAAAGGAAGCTCTAAAAAATGGCACGTCCCCCTACCTTCAAACATGTAAAGGTACCCCTCCCCCCAGCAAAAGCCTAAACAACAGAATGGGAAATTTTAGACTGGCCTTTCAGATTAAATGTTTTATCGGTACCAAAGTATTATGTTGTTTCATGTTTTTGTAATATTCTAATATAAGTCATTGAAAATGTGCCCTTTTTGAGTAGCTGCCCCCGCCGCCTTGAAATGCTTCCAGGGCCCATGTGTACTTCAGATATAACATGTACTTAATCAGGAGGGCCCTTGATTTATGTCATAAATCAGAATAAAATCTTATTTTTTTTCAATTTATTTTTATTACTGTTCTTTGACCAGAAATACCTGGCTTTTACTATGACACAGAAAAAAAGAGGTACTTTCGAATTACAAAAGACCATCCTAAGCCTGCAATCAAAGCTTGTAAATCTGAGGTAATCAAGGTATGTAGAATGCTCCACATATTTTACCTGAAATTATATGATATCTTTTTGATTTACCTTTTTGAGTTTCTAACTTTATTTTTCATTTTACAGTCTGATAAGACTTGATATAGACCTATTGGAGGCAAGTATTTAGCAGATAAACTTGCATATAGTGTAATGCACTGAAGAGAGGAAATTCAATTAATGAAAAAATGCATTTAGGGAAAAGTGAGCTTAAAAAGGGATCATGACAAAACCTGGCCATTGCTATGCCAAATTGATCTGTGCTAAGCCATTCCTATACCAATGTACACCTTTGCTACACCAATAGGTAGGCCAACCCTACATCAAAGGTTACGCAAATGGCTTAGGCCACTTTTGTCACAACGTGGCCTAGTCCCTGTTTTATATTGTTTTAAAGGCATTTGACATGCAGCGAATCCAAAAACAACTCAGGCCAAATTGATCAGAACATGCACACATAGAAGAAATTGAAAAATTTCTCACATGAAACCACCTTGTGCTGCTCTAGGATTTCACCGATTTGCAAACAAACGGAAACTGTTCACACGTTTCTCTGTGTGCGCAATCTGATTGGCCAACCACTGGTGGTCGAGTGGCAGCCACTTTTACCTGTGTCAAATGCCTTAAAAACACTCAAGGCAGCCAAGGTAAAATTTCACTGTTATGTTGTTTTGTTTGCTAGTCTCTACCTGTGACTACTTTGGATATCCATAACTGTTTCAAAAGCAACTTAACTTGAACTCTTTTCCTGAATCAACCAAAAAGGTAATGCATTGATCAACCTGATAATTCTGGCTGTGTTTGCTCCAAAAATTAGTATAGTGATGTTGTGTTGTCATTTTATGTTGATACCAATTTTCTTAAATCTAGACAGAAAAACAGAAACAAAAAAGGCATTCCAACATGCACTGCAAAATTTTGGAGGAAAGGGAGATATGTGGAACAAACATTCGAAAGTTCAAAAGGTAAATATGTCTTTGTCTTACAGGTTTACACTGAGGCCTTTCGTATTGATAAGCTACTCTCTAGCTACATATTAAAAAGTCACTTTAATTTGTAAATTTTTTTTATCCTATGATATGTCATGCTTTTAAGCTGCCTTTGGTTAATAGAATATTTTTCTAAAAATGTTTTCAATTTGGAAATTATTATGGTGCTATTTTTTAGTTTTTATCAATTTTATTAAGTCCTCGTTACAGAAAGGAGTTTTTTATAGATGTTCTAAAAATGGGTTTTTCACAAAACATGTTGAAAGAAATGCGGTATTAAAAATATGTACTTACATGTTTGAATATTGCCACATGTCATAAGTTCTGAATACTGCAATATTTCAGTGTTTTGCCCTGCAATAATCTTTAAAAAGGTTACATTTTATAATGTCATATCCACACTGACTGACTACTTTATTTTGTTTCAATTGATTCCTGTTAGGAACATGAGAAGATCTTCAATTGAATGCATCAACTTTGAAAAGACTAAAGGGATAAAATTGCACCTTGAGGAAGCAAATTTAAAAGACAAGGTCCTCATTACAAAAATTATTGTAAGTATGTCACTTCACCATTAGCACTAGCAGCTTATTAAATTAGTAATTGAATCTAGAACACGAAACTTTGGTAGTCTAAATATAAAAAATATCACATTTTCAGCTCATGCTTTACTTTATTTGCTGATTTGAATGCTTTTCAAGCTAGGGTAGTGGCCTAGAAAATAATTATCTTTGAGCTTCACTGTTACAAGGTGCAATATTCCTTTGGCAAACATTTCAATATGTTTTACTACTTACCTTCTTTTGCTGCTTACCAATCTTTTGCTGCTTACTCTCTAACTGATGATTGTTCCCTATACAGTCATTCTTGTTCCTCTGTTCTTTTTAACTCTTAAACCTTGTCTTCCATGTCCCCTTCTTTGGATGTTGGATATTGTGTTTCAGAGTTGCCCACAGTGTTGCTCTATTATTTCATCTAAGATCACTTCATTTAACCAAAATGGAGTTGGGTTGCAGATCTCTCTCTTGGTGCAAACTATAAGGGCAAATAAATAAACAGGATGCTATGTAGTTATCATTAGCATGTTCATAAGTTTCCAATTTGAATTTTGCCAAATTCATTTACCAGCCAAGCGCAAGACATGATGTTCTAGCAATTGTCAGCAAGATCAAAGGTTTTGATAAATCCATGTGAGTAATGTGAAAACTGATAAATTGCAACACATACATACACACATACATAAAAACATTTTTTATTCTATGGAGTAGGTTTCAGGGGCGAAACTTCACTATTTTCATTAGGGCATATGAAGCTTAGATGCCTGACAAAAGGGCGTCATCCTTGATGAAAGGGCGTGTACATGAACTTCAATTTCTGTTACAATTTTAGAGCACAACACCTCAAGGGCTGAAATCATCGGGGACCCTGATAGAGGGTCACTTAATATTTTAGGCCTTGAGACACGAACTTTTTTCTTTAAAGTCAAGAAATATGCCTTTAATTTTTTTGGTATTAGCTATAAACATTTGTTTCCTCAAGCAAAGAAAAGCTTTTTTATTGCAAGTATTTCACAGGTACACCTATCATCAAAGCTCAATTTCTGTGTATCTATAATCATGGATATTGTTCAGAAATAGGAGAAAAAAGGAAGTTTTTTGCAATTCATATCTTAATCATAATTCCTTGACAAATTTTCTATTATTTCCTGCTTGAACTGTAGGCTTGAAACTTTCTGTTACTTGTTACAGCTATTTGAATTTTTTTAGTCTTAAAACCTAGGCAGCTGTACGGCCATTTTTTGGCTAAGGATGCAATACTTTTGGACCGTAAGTGTAAAACCTTAAGAGAATTTTGGGGCATAACTCCTAATGAATGTATGATGAAAGTTTTATACCTTCGGAAAAGAAAGTATTGCTTGATTTTTCTCAAAAACGTATTCCAAGGTAGCATATCTTTCATGCTTTGATTTATGATGCTTCAAAAATTACTGATTTTTATTATGCTACCAAAATTTATTTTGGAAAGACTTTTATTTACTTAAAGTAGGGTTTGACAAAAGCAATGTTTGTCTTGTTTGTATTCTCTTCCATGGCTAAATGTTAAACATATTATAGTATTTATCTATGCAATTTTTATAATTGCACTTTTTTTCTTTTTTAGGCTTCAAATATATGATTTTCAGTTCAGCAAAGAAATGAAATTTGAATTAACCAGTTCTTATGATATATCGATTGCACAAGTAAATAAATAAGTTGTTTGTTTCTCTTTGCTTTAAAAATGTGTTTGTAAATGTTCCCTCTCATACCTGTGCCCCTCTAACTTTGCCATGCTTCCAATGTTTCTGGTTACTGTACCTTGGTGTATCAAATATCTTTTATAATCAAATATCATTTTATTCATATCAAATAATATATTTTATAAGCCAAGGTCGGTTTAAAAATAGCATCTATAGTAAGTGATGTGGGTGACCTTGTGTTTGAGCAAATATGTTTTTTTCAGATAACTGATACAGTCTTTGCAACCAACACTAGAAGCTTCACAAATGAACTTTTGTATCCTTATTCTAATTAATTTTTTCGAAATTTAGCAATTTATTTGAAGAACAACATGTTTTAACTCACAATGACAGTAACATGGTTTTCAATTTTTGCTTGGCTCTATTGCAGTTTTGGAAATAATTTCAGTTTTCCTTTATAACTCTTTTGTGATTCCTTAACTTATCTTCTTAGAATTTCATCAGTAAGCGAGAGTTTAGGTGTCAGTCAGGCACTCATCTTCTGGGTAGATGATTTTCTTGTCAGTAAGTAAATTTTATGTGTCATTTGTTCTAACCTGGCCAAAAATCAAATAAGAGATATTTCAAAATTCCTATCAGTGATGACACTAGGCAAAGTGAACAGCTTTGAATTTCTTGCAGTTGAGCTTTCATGGGCTTGCAGTTTTTCACTGAATAGTAGTATATTTTCTTTATTTATTTAAAGTTGGTACAATTTCTAGCTATGCATACTCAAGCTAATTAAAACCAGCTAATTTAAATTACCAACGCTAAATATAATATAAATCAATATAACCGATGTTGCTAACGTATTCCTTGCAAAGATTACAAGTACAATTAAACGATGTAAATTCTGAGATTTTTTTCTTGAATATTTGTAAAGTAGGTGAGTACTTTATCTCGTTTGGAACTGAGTTTCATTTGGCTACATCTGTATGATACGGTATTAAATCCATATATTTTGTAATATGGCTCCGCCTTTTTGAATTGGGAGTTTCTTAAGTAATATTGGCATTCATTCATGGAAAATATTTCATCCATAAAGGGTGGATTAAAACTGTCAAATGTTTTGTAAATTTTTATCCCAAGATATCGTAAATTCTTCTTGTGAGAAGTTATTGTTTTATTCTTTATTAAAAGTTGTTCAAGAGTTGTTTCATGATCATCATGAGCTATTCTAATTGCTCTTTCTTGAATCCGGTTTATCCGGCTATTACTTTTCCTACTGCAAAACATCCAAATAAGAGGATAATAATTAAAATATGATCATATGAACGTTTTTATTGAAAGAATTCGCTTAGATTCGTCCAAATACGTACTATATTCATGTATGTTCCTTCTTTTGTTCATCAAGATACTAACAGTATCCTTCCTTTTTTGTGGCCCGCAGGGTTCTTAGTTTGAGGAACGACAGATTATTAGATTAATTGTTTTTTAACAGCCCGATCTTGTATTCGTATATGTTTAATCAAACGGTCTTGAAATTATATAACATGATCATTTCATAAAATCGTTTTTTAGCTGACAGAGTCGTTAAAATGAGGAAAGGACATAATATTTGGTCTTCATGTTTTGTGCACAATCCATGTACACGGACAAGATTTGCCCTAGGTATGGAATACATAGATAATAAATCATTCCAACCTTTACCTACATCCTACTTTTCCTAAAGAAGAATGTATCATTTGAATTCTCCATTTGGCTCCGAAAGGACATAATTTCATTTCTTATTTCGACAGTTTTTCGACATGTATTTGTTTGTCGTTTCGACGATGGTGCAGCATAGAGTCGCCAGAAAATTCAAAGTTTTTCCAAGTCTCGTCAGATCGTAGAGTTAAGAATTGTCTCCATGAGATTTAGAAATAAATGAATTTTCTCATTGGTTTTACTGTAGCTGGAAACCTGGAATAGGAAGAATGACTTTGGACGGGCAATTTTGTAAAACCTCTGTAAATGAAAAAAAATTGTTAGAAAACCTAAATCAATTCCAAGATTGGTTTAGCATGTTAAGTGTTGATTTGCAAAGACGCATTTCAAAATTTAGAAACGCTTTAGCTTTGTTTGAATCAAAAACATTTATTTAAATCCCTAGGAGGAAATTTATTTCTTGAGTGAAGTCTAATTCTGCAAGCCTGGCATCTGTTAATTTCTTTAGTTAGCAGTTTTGTTGAGTGCCTTCTGTCAAAAAATCTTATCAAAGCTATCTGCGTTTTTCCAGGGTTGACAAACGGCATTCTTTTGGTGGGTCCAGAAGGCAGAACGGAACAACATCCTTTTATTAGAACAAGCAAAAGTGACGTATTATCTCTTGATGGTGGAAAGGTTCGGTTTGTTGTAATTTTCTTTGCAACTAAGATAGCGTATGCGTAGAAACGAAGAGAGGTCCTTCTGACCTATTGCAAGTAAGCTGGCGAAAAATGTGACTTCCCCGTTATAAAAATTCCAAGGATTTTCAAGAAAAGCCAGAAGCTAATATCTTACAACATAATAAATCATTTTAACTTTTCTTATATTTTAATCAAGATTTTGTTCTCTTTTGATAATGTTATAAACATCCTGCCCAGTGACTGCAGCTCTGCTTTTGCTGAATTCGCACTGGCTGAAACACTTGGGCCGAAAATACACAGGTAGCCTTTTAGAATCGAAATATTTGGAGAGAAAAAGTGTGATGGAAACAGGGTCTGGATGTATTTCCTTTTAAAAAGGAGATTTTACTCTTAATGACATTATAAATAGGTCCTTTCTGTTACAAATTAATTAAGCGGAGGAGGCAGCAAAATAATAAATAACATGCAAAAAAATTAGTATAACTTGGTTAAAAGGCCAAGGTTTTGCTGAAGATGACGATTGCGTACCGTTTCATATCAAAAAATGGAACGCTCAGGAGTTGCGTTCGCACGGAAACGCCTCAAATCGTATGGTTCTGTTCCAAAGATTTGAACGTTCTCAGAAGTGATGCGAAAACTGTAACGGAAAAACTGCCTTCACATGTGAACAAAAGAACAATTGATTCGTAATCGTTCATTTCTCGTTTGAACGTTAATGTTTTGTTTCTGAATTTGGAACATAATTTGGACGGTACGCAGTCGTTCCCTGTAAAAGGGGCCTAAGATGCTAAGGGACACCTCACAGTATTCCGTCGAATTTCTTTTAAAGATTTTAGATGTACCTTTTTCTCATAATTGCTTTATAAAGATATCTTTCTACAGGCGCCGTATTTATATTCTGGCTCCAGGGATGGTTACATTCGCAGTTTTGACTTTCGAGCATTCAAGGTCGCTTCGTCTGTAAGAGCAAAGAAATCAGTAGACAACGTCAAAATATTGAGCAATCAGACACATCTGATAGTTAGCACTATGGCTGGGCATGTAAGATTTTTATCTATCTTATTATTTAGCACTAGTATCAGGGTGCCAGGAGGGTATGTCATGTTACTGTTCCTGAAAACGTTTTGCACAATGATATCTATTTCTATTTCACATCTTCGTTAGCATATTTTGCAACCTGGATTTCCCTTTCCACTTGATTCTTGAAATATTACTACTGATTTTTTGAGGTTACTCTTGATTTCGCAAGGATTTCATTATATTTTCTGGAAAGAAAAGTTTTTCGTATTACTCAGAAATTTATCACTTTTTAGTTCCTCCCTCTATCAATTTGAATCTGCGTAAGTAGACAAATATAGTTATTTTTTTATGATGCAAACCGTTCGCTAGCTACTGTTGGCTTATAGATTATCAAACCTCTAGGGTGCAGTAACTTCCGATTTTCGGCAATGTCCGTGATAATACAAATATATTGGGTAAAAAAGAATAATATCTCAACGGTCAATTCAAGGTTATGATGCAGACGTCTATTGCACCATTTTTTGCTACACAGTGTGATGACATCACTGCAGCTGAATCGTATTTAGCCCGACTCAAAAAAGGCTTATGCAAGATACATATCCATTTCGTTTTACCAAAGGAAATTTTAACCGGGTTTTACCACTTGCGGTGAAGTGTGGTGAGGTGAATGTAAGTGTGGAGTTGATTAATTTCTTAACAGTCTAGGCAATCATGGATTCTACAAAGTTCATTCTTTTTTACCATTTCCCACCAGGGGAACCGGCTGCTCGCAATAAACTCTAAAAATTGGCAGAAGCTGATGCAATTAACATTAGCTTAGGTACAAGGTGTACCTGGATAAAAAGCTACTTATTCAGTTCCTTTGCCAAATATGTGACTTTTTTGTTTCTGCAGCTTGAATTGTGGGATATACGAATGTGGAAAGCAGTGTTGTCGTACAGTGGCCACGCAAACACTCATTCTCGCCTTTCGCTTCACTTGGACAGCAACGAAAACTTCCTTTCATCAGGTAGACATTTTTCAAAAACCACTCTCTTAATTCCAAACATGCAAAATCAGTCAAATGTCTAAAATCGGGTGAGATGTGGCGAATGAAAGATCTGAAGTTTCAAAACAAATCACTGTTATTGTGGCACTTGTCATAAAGTTATGAACAGCACAAATTACAGAGGTCTGATGGGGAAAGAGCCCGTGCACTTGTTGCCATATCTCAGCCATTCGTAACAAATTTGATTGATTTTGCACAATTAGGGGTATTTCATGATGCTCTTTCAGGTTATGGGATCATAATACAAAATTAATGTGTGCAACAAAAAACCAATGGATTAAATTAAAATCATAACTTTGTATGCCAAGCAATATTTTGCAATTTTAATAGTACTTCAGCTATACTATCAGCTATAGCACTACGTATTGCCTTTTCACTCATAATTGGAACATTCCTCGTTATTCTATCTGGCATTTTATCCTGTATGCTATAATATTTCTCCATGATTGGAAAGGCTTTCAAATCTTGCTACTGGTTGTAAGACATGCCGGTTTCTGAAGAATTGCAATGATGACGTAACAAAAATCTATTTTTAGAGCTTTAAAGCATATTATATATTCATCATCCTAACATTTTGCCTTTAACAATAAGAACATTCTCAGAATTCTCAGAATTGGAATTTTGAAATCGTGATTTTTTCTTGTAAGCTACAGACAACCCTAACTCTATTGCTGCAATAGAATTTTCTAACCTCCACTTTACGGTTTATTTTAGTTGGAGAAGACTGTGTTGCCAGAATTTGGGATGTACGAACCGCAGAACTATTAAGAGAGTTTCCAAGTATTCGGTTTGATGAACGGGAAGATCCGATCAGGCCCACGGTCCTTTTTCTTGACCAGGACACTAACCCGTATATAAACAGCGGATATTTGTATGGAATCAAAGAGGAATTATTTTATTTCAAATTAAATCCTTGACTTCAAGCTAGCCGTTATTACTTGCTTGTTTTCATATTATTTCCAATTTTTCCAAGAGCGATGTCCACCTTACACATCTCACAAGGGGCAGGAAATAGCGTAGAAATAATTAGGATTACGTCATCAAGACTTAACTTCAAAAAACATTTGAGAAAAGAGCGCGAAAACTAGCAGCTTATACAAGTTTCAAAAAAGAAAATCATGATTAACTATCTCTCAAATAGAAGTACTCACCCTTGCTTTCTTCCTGTACATGTTATCTGAATCCCAAGCAAGAACTACAAAACCTTTGGAAAACCTAGCGAATGCTGAATCACTCAAATCTACGCTTAAGACCAGGCATCACGGAATCCACAGAATTCCTTGGATCAAGCACGCGCTTTGGGTCCTTTGGCCAACGGACCTTTAAGTAAGATACCATAGAGAAAAGTATGCACGCTCCCAAAAAGTTTAGATTTAAACGCGAGAAGCAATTCACATAGGGGACGTTTGCTTAATAGGGAAGATCTTTCAAGATTTCGCGTCATTTGAGCGTTTTTTTACAACATGGGACTTTGACATGCAATATTTTGAGCGGACGGAGAAAAAGAGGCATATGGATAGAGGGAGGGAGGAAAGAAGGAATAGAGGGAGGGAGGGAAGAAGAAATAGAGGGAGGGAGGGAAGAAGAAATAGAAGGAAGAGTAGAACAAGGCGAGGAAACAGTTTTGAAGCTGGAGGCAACAGTCTGATTTCTTGTACGTTTCCCTCAAGGGTTAAACCTGGTATCACAAGAGGTTTCACGAAAACTTTTCATAGCTGCGTGTGAACAATGATTAACGGACTGGCAAAAACGCTGAGTGTAGATGAAATAAGCTTTTTCCAACCACTGTGGAAATTTAAACACAATAAATTAAGCAAAGAAGAAAGGAAACAAAAATTGAATCTCGTACCAGAATAGTTATTTTGTAGAAAAAGTAACAAATTCACGCGCAGCTGTGGTCTGGCAAAGACCTAAGCGATACAGACTAATTTTGTTAAATAAAATATCAACGCGGTTTTTTAATCAGACCAAAATTTATGGACTATGCTATGACTTTCTTTTATAAACGAAATAGCGATGACGCCATGTTTTAATGCCTATTTTACCAGCTTAATGTGACATTTCTGCACATTCCTGTAAGATCTTATCAATGTTGACTTTATACGCCTCAAAAACTTTGATCAATTAAGTCACTAGAGAAAAAATCCACTATAAAAATGACGTTAAAAATCATTGAAAATTGATATAAAGTTGCAATGACGATCACATGCGCTCTGTTATTCAGCTCCTTGTCAGCTATTGACTTTAGGCAGGGACCGCTGAAGCAGGGGGATGAGGGGGCTAAGCCCCCAAACAATTTCCAAAAATGTAACTAAAACCATACACAAATCGCTTTGCTCTTGGCTTTTAGCATGTTCCCCCCCCCCCCCCAACATTTTAGCCCCTTCAACCCATAGTATGCTCTGCGGTCCTTGAATTTAAGTACTGACTTGAAGACAAGAACGAGTGCAGACAAAAACCAAAGCGTTTAAAAGAACTGAAATCGGTGTACTGCAAGTATATTAAATCGAAAATAAAGATCCAAATATCAATTGAAGACGCCTATAAACGTTTTAATCAAAGCAATAATTTTACTGTTTCTTTAAAGTCAACACTTATTCGTCAGCCTCACCCGAGGGCATTGCATCATCGTCTATAACACCGTCTGTAGCAAATTGCCGTATCATATTCAACGGAACTGGAATCGAGCTGCCAAGATGCGACGCCTAAAACGAAAATCACCACTATGCAATACTTCCAAAGATATTGGACAAACGAGGGGCCCGATAAAAATCAATTATTGGCCCAATTTTCTGTATAAAGTAAAAACTTGAGTGGAAAAGGGCAGTTTTACAATTTATAGCTTTAATAAAAAGGAACATGAACAACAACATTTGGAGCTTAATTTCAGACAAGAAAAATTCAGTGTACTAAAACTGATTAAGACGTTTTAGTTACTATTCGTTAAAAATAAAGCTGAATTGACTAGGCCGTGTCATTTTATTTACGAAACATTCGAGATGTGTTTGTCTCATCTTCAGCTAAATAAAAATCATATGCGTGACTTTTATCATGTACAGGTTATTTGCGCTAAGCAAAACTAAGAAAGCTTCAACTTCGCCCAAAGCTTGACGTAATCCTTCTAATTGTTGTATGATTTTATCCTAAGCAACCATGTAAAGATTCCAATAAACGCCGAATCATGCATAAATTGTGAATAGATTGTTGCCAAGAAGCTTAAAAGTGCTACCGGTACCCAGTGATTCTGAATACTCAGTGTCAATTGTTAAACAAGAACAAGTTGAATAGGTTATTTGTATTCAACAAAGACCGCCACTCTAAAAACTACTCCAGCAAGCTCTTTCATAACATTCATCCCCCCCCCCCAACCCTTAAAAATTTGAGTAAAAATGTCGTATATGAGATATTTTGCTAAAAAAAACCACACTGTTTCTCCTCCGAAGAGACATTAGTGGACAAACTCTAACCCCGATTTTACACCCTTAATCTCAGATCGCTGATCACCATCGCGTCCAGGTTGCCAAGGACCATAGTTTCCTCAAAAAATCCATTAAAACTTCCCCGCTTACAATCATATTACCTGATATTAGAAGCGCTTCGTTGATTTTGACATTTTTAACATTTAATCATTCTATTTTCCTTTCCTTTAGATAAAAATTGTTTGAAACTAACTGAGACACTTAATAAATGAGAATAATCCTTGGACGAAGGAACACTTATTGAGCTATCAAGTCCTTTGTTAAAATAATTACTGTACCTCGTCCCTTGTTCTGTCTGGGATCAGCTCATCAAGGATACTTTCAATTGTATCCATCCTGAAAAAAGATATTTCAAAGGCATAAAATTGCAGTTATAAGCGTCAAATTTGTAGTGACTTAACTAACTTAAAGATAAATCAACTAACAAAAGCAATCAACTGAATCAGAGCTTTCAGGCATTCTAACTCCTTTTAAAGTGACGGGGTAATCGGGCATAGAGGGCCCCCGTAAATGGGGCTTCCTTCCTATGTTAAAAGGATACATAAACGAAAGTTGTTTTCAAAGAGTTTGAAACTAGGATTCTCCAGCCTGAATGATTCGTTCACCACTGCCAAGGTAGGAACAGAAACAATGATTCGTTGAGTCGAGTTTCAACGGAAACAATGTTTAGCTCTCTGACTGCTGCAAATGCTTTTTATTTGAAATCTTATGCTTTTACTGTAATGACAGTATAAATACATGGTACTCCTTTTTAACCTACTTGTAAAGAATTAACTGATAGCAATTTTTTATTTTGCAATATTACTGGCAGGAAACCTTTGTCGGGCTTTCATAATATTTCGTTTTTTCTCAGCCACTGTCGATGGTTCTCAGAAAAATAAAGAGGTCTAACCTTAAACATGAAAATACGAGTGTTTTAATGCTTCTAATTTCGTGGAGTGTTCTAGAAATACCTGCCAATCAATTAACTGCAGCTAAAATTGACTTAATAAGCGAGACCATCTCTTGAACTCTGTTTTTACAACTTTAACGAAAGAGAAAGTGATACAACTCAATACTAAAACAAAATAACGAATGATATGATGAAATTTACAAATATACACAAGAAAAAGGATTATTATGTCAAGGTTTCCGTTATAAAAAAATTGTCAGTTGGATCTGAATGTCCAAAAAATTATAACTAAACAATATCATAAAAAAAATCATTTCAAGTTCTATTTTCAGGCACATACCAGGATATAACAGCATACACCAAGCATGCAGTAGCTGCTCATAGAGAGAGCATCCCATTGCGGTTTAACATTTAAAGTTCATGAAGTCAAACAATTACAAATTGCAAAAATAACAGCAAAATACAACAATGTAAATAAGTATGAAATATTGCATGTAAGAGATATAATATTAACACAATATGTACAGAGATTTTTAAAATATGAAACAGTGAAATATTGGTATGTATATACAATAGTTCTACTGGCATTGAGAAACACTATCAACTCTCTCAGAATATCTGCACAGCAATCCAGGTGTATGTCTCTGTAAAATGGTGCATGTGTAATTCAGTGTGTCACAGTCTGTCTGTAAGTTCCTTAATGGTCTCAATCTTTTGTCAAACTATGCATCAGTCAGTGGCAAAAGCTTGCCTTTGTCACAATGTCACATCTAAAAAGTCAAAGCTTGCTTACTAAGTGGCAAGATACTAACTGCTTGTGTACAAGTCTGTTCATGAGCACATATGAGACAATTAAACTCCAATTCAATTCAAACCTCTATGCTATAACCAAAATAGTTAAAAATTGCCTTTCTGGTTGCTTTTATGAAAACTGGAATTAACATTGACAACTGGAATGTTGATAATAATCTTGCAAATGATTTAGACAATTCTCTGGCTGCTCCAACTGAAGGTATACAAGATTTGTTGGCAAACAAAAATTGATGGGAGAAATTTACTATGTGAATTTAGTTGCATCAAATGTGAACTAATAAACAATAGCAATTTGAGAATTAACAAATAATCTTTTCATACAAATGGGTAATCGGACATTGAACAGATGGAAAATCAGACATTGAAAAGATGGGAAATCAGACATTGAACAGAAAATTTAACAGATAGCAAACTAAACTTACTTTGCATGAAGCCCTCCACCAGGTGGAAGGTCTGACAGCTCTTGATCTTGCAAAAAATCAACTATAACTGAAGTGTCAATCTCCTTTGGATCAGAAGACTTCTTTATGTATCCTGAAAACCATTGTAAAGTTTCATCTTAGCCAATATTGATAAAAATTCAAATTCTTGGTTTCAAAAATGCTCACTTGATCCTGCCTAAGAATACAAACCAATTCAAAAGTTTTTATGATGGGAAGCTGAGACAGCCCACAGACACTCTCATGTTGAGTAAAAGTTTCACAGGAAGTTTGAAGTTTGAACTGAAGAACCTCCAGTCACATTAATGAATTAAGTCATAAAGACCACAGTTTAATATTTTGTTATAAAGATCAGACAGCTCTATGTAATTTGAAAGTCAGCAACTGAATGTTGGGGACAACAGGACAGTGCTAGATAGAAGAAATCATTTCTGTTCAATACTGTTGTTTTACACAGTAACATAAAACCAGAGACAGAGTTCACTTTCTTTAATTTGTATTCTTGCTTTTTGTAGCTGGTAGAAAAAGTAGTAAACTTTGTAACAAAGTAAATGGTAAAAACCTGATGACTTTATGTCTTTTTGTCACGGATGACACAGGTAAATAAAAAGTTTTTCTTTAGGTAATACTTCAACATTGAAGCTGTCTTTTGTATTATAGCACAGTCATCAAATGCCTCTATGAGTATCAAATACCCAAAATCATTCTTGTTTCATTTCAAATTTGAAAACTTGTTATTAAAAATATCAAAATTCGTTCTTTTTTCATTCCATTGCCTCCAATTGTCAGCCAAGAATATTCCTTTAGCGATTGCTAAATTCATCACTACATACAGAGAGTGCCAATTCTATCAGAAATGAAGATTTAAGGAATTTTAGGAATTTTAATAATTGTTGCAATCACAGCTTTGCATGTGCTATTGCCTCAAACACAGTAGGTATGAAACTAGATTATTGCACCATGTAAGTTTAATTCAGGATGTTAATGAATGTTGCATCTTGTCTATCATGCCATGTATGACTGCATAATTCTAATTGGTATTTTAGTAAAAAAGGTCATTCACAATCCTTTCAAAAATTAATAAGGACAACCACTACAACAATGCAATGTGATTAGGTTTACAGATACCAAATTTGAGGATAGTTATGACTACCGTGACTAAAGAATTTCAAACAAAGAGTTATCTTTATGATAGAATAAACAGATAATATTGAGACCAAAATTGAGTATCAGATTAGTATTGCATAGTAACATCTTTTCATATTTCAAGTACTTACCTTCAATCTTTTCTTTCAATAAGCTGTCTATTTTTGCATCCTTGAAAAAATGAAAGAATGTTGGCACATGTGAAAGCAGTGAATAAATTTTTTATTTCAACCACTAATATTGTTTTGAAAATAACAAAAGCAACACCATCAAGTTGAATACAAAAAAATTCACAAAAATCTACTTTAACCACAAATTAACAATTTATTCGTAGAAACCAAGTTTATAAATAAATCAAATGCTAAATCTTATAATTAAAAATAATTTTGCTGAATCACATAATAGTGACAAAATTCTGAAATCCCAAAAATGCTCAATTATGTTAAAAATCTAGTTTTTTAAAACATTTTTGGCTTGAATGATATCTTTAACATTTCTATGAATAACTGTTCCATTATTATTCCAGATTATGTATCTTACACTTTCAAGTAACAATATAACTTTGAATTTGGAATAAAATTGTAGGGAAAGAAAGAGCCAAACTTATTAACAACGTTTTAAGCATAGCCTGCCATCCATTGAAGACAGAAAGCAATAATAGAGTATAGAACCTAAAAGGAAGATAGGATTTAACAGATAAGAATAGAACCACAGATATTACAGCATAGAAGGCAGGGGCGGTGCCAGCCTCAAAATAGTGGGGTGGACACTGAAGGGATGGAGCTGATAAAAGGATCTAGGTGAGAAACTGGTGCAACACCGTACGAGAAATTGTGCTCGTTATTGATAACAAAGTTTGACATATTTTGAAACCCTTAATAGAAGAGTTAAACTTCATAGGCAAAGGTTTACCCACATAAAAGTTAATATCATAAAGTTCATTTCAGAGTTGTATTTTTTAGCTAGCAATCGTTATAAACTTATAAACAAGGCTTCCTTTGTTTATTTTATATGCCATATCTCGATCGATGGTAACTTGAACAAAAGTTTCCAGCCTTTCATCTGACATTGAGGCTAAAAGGTGATGCAGCTGTAACAGGTGGAGCTGCAACTATACTATCCTTACATCTTAAAAAGGTTTGGGTACAAGTTTTAAAGTTAATTATTGCCACAAACCCTTAACAAAAAAGGAAGGCAAAGACCACACTCTAAGAACCAACTGTTTAGCATGATAAAGCTTTGTTTTATAGACAATCTTCATTTTATTTTCTCACTATTTACGGAACTGATGATCCAACACACCCTACTTTATGTCAGCTAGGATCTGGAAATAACCGTGACTGACCCTCAAAATTATAAAGGTTCCGATCTCAGAGAAGAAAATTAGCCCCCCCCCCTAAGGTTTTCAATCCAGTTTTGAAAGAATTAGAGAGTTTATCCTGAAAAAAGTGGGGTGGACATGCCCTTCCCGTGGCGCCGCCCTGAAAGGAAATGCAGTGAAATTAATGGTATATGAGCATGAGCTAAAGACAGGATATATAAAATTAAAAGAAAGAACAAATAAGAAGAGGAAAAAGATATGTTTAATAAGTATAAAGTGCTTATTCATTTTTTTATTTTGCAATCTTTTCTTTTCCATGCGGGAAAATTTGCAAAATTCAAAGTGATGATCTCAGTTTCATGTGCATCTCCAATATTCAACATCAAACAAAACTCATCACATTGAGTTTGAAGGAAAATGAAGAAAAATAGACACAAAATAGCCAGAAGAGGTCAATAACTGGTTTATTGGCATAAATCAAATGTGTTCAAATGATTCTTTGCACCAAATGAATGCTCTTCTTCACTGGGAAAATGTAGAGAAAGGGATCTTTACCAAATTGCAACTTCTATGCAGTCGATTTTATGGGAAAATGGTTGCCACTTGGAATTAACACAATGCACTTTGCCATCTATATCAGCCCAGTCACGATCCAATTAGTTTTGATCCATGCGAAAGGGGGTCTTACTCGCAGGGGAAAAACTAGCCAAAACGCAGTGACACATCAAAGGAGTTATTCGCTTTTTTCACATATCAGGGTTCAAAGGTCAAATGTACAAATGTTTGCATCTCTGTTTTTCATTACAAAAGGTGAAAGTGCAGGAAAAATTGCATATTTTGCAAGAGTGCACTTCTTATGATATTTTGGACTCAGAAGATAAAGAATATCTAAAAAGGGTGACAAGGCGGTTGTTATAGGAAAATTAGGAATCAAAGGCGAAATTAATGAAGAGAAAAATGATAAACTTCATCTGTTGAAAAGGATACAATTGGAATACAGAATGGACTTATGGATATGTGATACCAATAATTTTCACATTTTTATTCTAACTAAAATTATTTAATTATATGGTTTTGGATTATAAACACTAAAAGATCAAAATCCAATTTGAAAGAGAACCGTTATTTAAGACTTACTTGGAAACTTGCCCATGGATATCTAATGAAACTGGCTTAGTAAGCTGTAGATTGAGAAGCCTAAACATATACCTTTTCACAACACACTTTAATTCAAGAACACCCAAACCTCAAATTATCCAAAAAATGAGAACATCAAGCCTTGGCAAAAAGTATTTTGTTCTTATAGAAAAGTGTGTACAAATCCAGATAAAAGTGAAATCCAGATATTGAATAAGAATGGCTCTAGAATACACCAATTAAATGTTATCAATTATCATATTCGATTATATGACTGCTCAAGGTTCATACATTCATAAGGTTGAAATCACAAATTTATTGACCCCTCAGCAGGCCTCTCCGGGGAAAAAAACAATACAGGCTATAAAAAGCCCTTGCCAGTTTGACTGCATGGGCTATTAAGCCCTTGCTGAATTTGACGCTATCTATTGTTCCTTTCCTGCATAACCATTTCCTATTCCATTGCTAGTTGTAACAGGTAACACTATAGTTTGTTAACATGTGATAAACACATAGACATGTAAGACATCTATCTCTTTATTTACTTGCACCCTGATATTTAGCGGTAAGTAGTACAAGCATTGGGGAGCCAAACTGCACGGATTGAATGAGAATGTTTGTTTGAAAAACTGTGTGGGCAGAAAAAAGCCCTCACAAATTAATTCTGCATGGGGTTTGCATGTGCGCGGGCTATGGCCCATGTCTCCTGGGATATCCTGCCCCTCAGTTCCCTGAAAATTGTATTGTTTGAATCTTTTTGTTTGAATTACTGTGCAAAAATATCTTCACCTTGATTGTAAGGCAAAATTATGTAAAAACTTGTATTTACTCCAGGTCATCTTTTGGCAAAAACATTTCTTTCTGAAACAAGGGTGCTGGTCATAGCTCGGCAAAACTTCAAAACTGATAGTAATTTTAAGGTTTAAAGCTAGGTATGATGCAAAAATTGGAAATTAATTGAGTAAATAACTGGCATGTAAATATTTGGCAGGATGACTATGATTTCAGTCGCAATTCATTTTTTTAGTCATTGCTTTCTAAAAATACCAGGGTTAACTGATATTAGCAGTGAGGTAAGGAATTAGGTGTTTTTATGTCATCAGTTTTAGAAACAGTTGGATTGTAGTAATTATGTTCTAGGTCTTAAGTTTGATAGGGCAGTTGTTACAGCTCGTCAAAGCAAAGGTAGACTTTAATTTTGTTGAAAGCAGAAAACATTTTTAGGGCTTAATTTACCATCTAGCCAATAACTTTTTACAACAAAGTTGTACATCAAATGATATCACAATGAAATCAGAACTTCTCAGTTCAGAACAGTTATTGAATAATTTACAGCTGAAATGATTTAATTTTCTAACTTCAATTTTTCAGTTTAAAATGTACTGAATAATTTATTACTATAAACAATTTTTAGCAGATGCAGAAATCTTTTGTTTTAGGTAATAATCTTGAAATGCAAACTGACTTTTTGGCATACCAAACAAGAGTTTTATGTAAATTTGTTTTTAAGCTGAAATTAGAAAATACCAGCCTCACAATTTCTGATGCTTTAAATAACCTACTAAATTATTGGTTTTGTCTACCAAGGTTATATACTCTTTTTTTATAAGAACCAGTCAATCTAAGTTTAGGCTGACTGTTCTTAATTTTTTTGAAAATCTGAAAGAGTTTTTCGTTTGTTCTTAAATGAATAGGGTGTAAGCAGTGCGAGTACTAGCTTTTTTGCTCTAGGGTGGTGTTCAGGCCTCATTTGCCAACAAAGTAAGTGAGACAGCCTTTTTTAATATTTACTGAAAAAGCACACACACATCACTAAAAATCCTCGATTTTGAGAAAAAATGTTATTCAAAATTGCATTTTGCAGAAGCTCAGCCTCAGCTTGTTTTTAATTTGTTCTTAACTTTGACCAATTTTGAGGCTTGTGTTCTTTTAAAATTGTTCTTATAAAAAAAGAGTCTATTTTGCAAGAACAAAAATTTTGAAATGCATGAAGCTGAACTTTCTTTAAAAAAAATACAGCATTTTTACTTACAGCCTCAACTGCTTCTTGGGAAACCTCAGGTGCTCCTGGAAATGTTACGATGATTACACTCATGTTGTCTTTGCTTCCCTGGGAAATGAACAATACTATTATGCTAACAGTTTCTTTATGGCACATAGTTCTAAGTATCCTAAAATCGGGGCAGTTGCTAGATATTGTGCTCAGGTCCCATTTGCTGACAAAGTGGGTGAACCATCCTTTATTTTTCTGCCAAGTCTTGAAATTTACCAAATTAGCAACCCTACATGACAAAATTGTCTTGTTTTTGCAATGAAATTATTTTTTGAGGAAACATCACACCCAAAGGCCCACTACAGCAATGGCCCTGACCATAATATGATACTCAATGGTATTTCTTGTAGTGTCAATCTGCTGAATGAATCTGCTGGTTAACATGATGATGATAAAAGAAGAAACATTTTGAAAATTACAAGAAACCGACAGGAAGTGTCTCAGAGATGTTTAAACATCAGTATGATCCCAAATCAACAGAAACAGAGGTATCCCCCCACCCCACCCCAACACAAAGTTAGTTCCCGAAATTTCTTCCTGTCCATTTACCAATATGTGACTCAAATAGCAACCACAGATCAAAATAAAGTTACTGACCTTGGCAAGACATGTTTCAAGAAGTTCTCCTGTCATTTGAGTAAGATTCTGGTGGATTTTCAGGCGATATCTGACATAGTCGACAACCTCTTGGTTTGACATCACATCCCATATTCCATCGCATGCCAGAACGAGAAATTCGTCATCGGGGCTTCTTTCGATGCAGGTAAGCTCAGGCTCTGCAGATACAAGCTGCTCGGTGCAGGGCAAATTCGGTACACGTTTGTAATCAAAATCACCTAATGCTCGGGAAACCGCTAATGACCCATTGACCCTCTGTATAATAACACTCCCTCCTGCTCTTTCGATTCTTGTTTTTTCGTCAACGTTGTACGGTTTGTGATCTAGTGTTGCAAATGCTACAATCCCTCCACTCCTACTAAGAACAGCTCTCGAGTCGCCGCAATTAGCAAACAATATGTGGGTATTAGTGACAATAACTGCGATTGCCGTTGACCCACTTCTTTCATCTCCAGATACAAATCGAGGGAGTTCCTGCAGTTTTTCATCTATATCTAGAAAACCTTTACGTATACTAGCTTTAAAGTGAATCAAATCTTTACTTAAGCAATCGCTACCATTGTTCCTAACTTTCTCCTCAGATTCAGTTGATTCTTCTTTCTCTATAGTTTTATTAATGCTATCTGATCCAGTTTCTTCTGCTTCGTTTGTATCATGTGTTTTACTGCTCCCATTCTCTGGTTTTGTCGATGCGGTAGACTTTACGTTTGATTTCCCAGCGTTGACATCACTTTCCTCGCGAATCTCGCTGTTTCCACTGTCACTTCGTTTAACCTCCAAGTTTACTAAATTGTTGAGTATTTCTTCCCAAAGATGCTCAGCAGCATACTTACTAACGAAGTCTCCAGCATGACCATCAAAAACTGCGAAGTAAGATGAACCTTGAAGATTTGGCGCCAAGTTTGTCTTCATCGAGTGAGAGTCCTCCATGTCAACTCTCCATCCCTGCATTGCAGAAACAGCAAAACGTAGGCCATTTCCCTCTCCAGACTCTGTGGTCTTCTCCTTTTTCGGCTTGTCTAAAAACAGGCCCATCTTATTAGCTTATTATTATTGAAGGATAGCTAAACAGATATCATGATACGAGAAAATTGTACAATTGAAGGGAAGCTCGCACTTTCCAAACTATCTCGCCATGTTCTTCAATGAAACTAAATTACGTCACCTATATTTATAGAGGTACATTCAATGCTTGTTCCCGCAGCATTACTGCGAGTAAACGCAGGTCATGAAACAACAACTAACCAGATTGTGCAAGCTTTGCCGGAAACACTGACCCCTTGCAGAGCACGAAAACAAAACTTTTATTTTGAAAAAATTGCTCAATAGAAAGTTTTTCAGCTGGATTTTATTTAAAAAACACATCAGTGAAAACTCCTGTCTTTTGCATTGTCCATTAATGTTAGGCATAAATCTAGCTTTAGCGTAAATCCTCGAATAAGCCCTCGGGGGCTTATTTGCAAAAATGAATTTTTGGGTGGGGGCTTATTCGAGGCTTAGTTCAAAGTTTAGTATTTCCTCAAAGGTCGACATAAGAACGACATAATTTTCTCAATAAATTTAAAATTTCAAAAGGGTTTTTTGCAAAGGAAGCTTTCTTGAAATAAGATATTGTGTCATTCTGCAATTATATGCATCCCTCGAATAAGCCCCATAGGGGTTATGATTTTGATTTTTGAGGTGGGGGTTTATTTGCAAAAATGATCTTTAACTAGGTGGGGGCTTATTCGAGGGGGAGGCTTATTCGAGCGTGGGGGCTTATTCTAGGATTTACGGTATTCGTATAAACTTAATGCGTTTTTATGATGTCATATACAATGTTTTTTTGTAAGAACAATTTAAAAGAAGACGAGCCACAAAATGATCAAAAGTTAAGAAGGAATTGAAGACAAGCTGAGACTGAGATACTGTAAAATTGATTTTTCAACAAAGTTGTGAACCCTCATTAGAAAATACCATCTCAAAAACGAGAAGTATTGCCATCTCGGTATCCTTTGTTAGTTAATTTTCAAACTTGTCGGCAAATAAAGGTTGCTACATTCACTTTGTTGGCAAACCTTGTTCACATGACTTTGTTGGCAAATCGAAAACAGCGTGTAGTTCTAAATGGAAAAAGTTCAGAATGGGCAACCATTTCTGCAGGGGTGCCATAAGGGTCAGTTTTAGGCCCATTGTTCTTGTTCACATCAATGACCTTGTTGATAATGTAAATTGTGATACCAAGATGTTTGCTGACGATACATTCTCTTGTGTATATAATCCAGCGAGAAGTGCTTTAGAGTTAAACGAGGACTTAGAAACGGTAAAGTTATGGGCGTGGCAATGGAAAATGCATTTTAATGCTGACAAAACTGAAGAAGTTATATTCTTTTGCAAGAGGTTCAAGCCCAACCACCCACCTTTACTGTTAGGAAATGATCAAGTCGCACAAAAAATGGAACATAAGCACTTAGGAGTGATACGTGATTCCAAATTAGATTTTCAAAGCCACACCAGGCAGCCAATATCGAAAGCAAGAAGAGGCATTGGTATAATAAGATACCTATCAAAATACGTAGCCAGAAATGTGCTTGATCAGATATATAAACTTTATGTGAGGCCTCATTTAGATTATGGAGATATAATGTATCATCGACACGACCCTGCCATGCAATCTCATTTTATACAAGCATTTGAACAAACTCAATATTCAGCAGCTCTAGCTATGACTGGTGCATGGAGAGGTACAAGTAGGCAGCGACTTTACAACGAATTAGGTTGAGAAAGTCTATATGATAGGAGATGGTATGGACGCTTGTTTCATTTTTTGTTCTGAAGAAACAGCGCTCGCCTCAATATCTGGTCATTGAAATATTCCAAATGAACGCCAACCAATATAAGACCAGTGGGAGATTCTATATATAACATCCATGACATGTTAGGTGTTAGATATTTAACTAAACTACGTTTGCAATTTAGCGCACTAAACGAGCACAATTTCAGGCATAATTTTGATTGTTTAAGCCATGTTTGCGTTTGTGGAACAGCAAAAGAAGATAATGAACATTTCTCCTGCATTGCCCATTGTACGACATAATGCGTTGCGATCTCCTTGGTCAACTCTCGGAAATTTCTGGTTTAGACATTTCACAATATGATTCAAATCAAAACCCTTATGCACACTGCTTCTGTATGGATCTCCATTGTTGAATGTATTTGCCAACAGAATAATTATGGAAGCTACAATATCCTTTATCAAAGAAACAAAACGATTTGACTGAATGCAGCTACCCTATATTCATTTTTAATTAATATATTTTCTTTATTGTGTCAAATAACTTAAATAACAATTGTTTTTTGGTTTGTTCTTTGTACCTTTGCTTGCTTGAGTGACAGATTGGTTAAATACTTATTCCCTCAAATTACAGGTTGCCAGCTATGGCAGCTATTTGTTTGCTTTGACGATCGTAATTTGTAATTTAAAAGTTAAACTTACGAGTGATATTTCAAGATAGCAGAAAACAGGTGATCAATTATTAGAAAAAATTATTAGAAATCCATATAGTCACAAATGTTAAAACTGTCACAAATGTTAAAATTCCTGACAGTGGTGCTTTCGCTTTTAAAACTGTAAGATTTAAGTCTACACGATTTATGTCATTTAAGTCTACACGAACGCTATGGAAAAATTATTTGATGAGACTTCACCTCTTCTATCATACATCAGTTAAAACCAAGCTGTTCAATTGTGTCATGTTATTTGAAATCAAATCCAATCAAAAGATTGTTTGAAATATCTATCACCACATTTTCCAGCAAGATTCATTGTCAATAACAAGTAACTAAATATTCCCCCTCCCCCGCTTATGACAAACTTCTTCAACAGTGATCTCTATGTATATCGGAGAAAGTTAGTGATCTGAGACAGGACTGAGCCATTCTAAAAGGTCAGCCTCTGGCGGCTCGTTGGTCTCTTTCCTCAAATACCTCTTATGTGAACTTGTGAACCACGTGCTAATCCATCTTTAACATCAAGGCAACGCTTCACGAACATTCTTTCATGATTTCTTTTTCTTTGTTTATGACAAAAGATATGTTGAAGTAAATAGGTCTTTAATATATACCTTGCAAGTTTGTTTCTTAATGAAATGAAATTTAATGTCTAGAGTTATTTTTTGGTGTTTTTTCTGGTTATGGGGTTAGGATTTAAAATTCTAAAAAATTGATTTTTGATGACACCTTCCAGCTATTTTATAGTTGCATATATAGGATAACAGTGAAATCTTTGGGATCAGGAAAAATCAAATGACTTTCTAAAGGAAAATTAAATGTGGAAACCCGAAATAAACCAATTCAATCCCCTTGGAAACCCCTAACGAACTCCCTTGGAAATTACTCAAAATGTCATTTTCCGCAATACTTTCAGTGCTTATACAGCTGGTCATGCAATTTTTTAGGCTTGCATTGTAGATTTAATGACGATATGTAGTTTGACAGCGGGACGTTACCAAAAAAATCTTAAACCTTTCGACCTAAGTCGAATCATTGTCGAACCACTAAGGAAATTTTCAACTTTATGATGTCATAAAATCATCTTCGCGATCACTACCAAATTTTGATCCTCAATTTGAATCTTAACAAATCTAGTCGAATCAAAAATTAGCACAAAGGAGTTTAAAGTATTTTTTCAAAACGTGGCCAGACATTGAAATGGTTTACTGGAAACATACCAGTTTGGCCAAAAAAGAGTGACCAAGCCTTATCTTTTCCTGATTATATTCAGCTTAGCCATCAATAATATCTTAACTAAGATCTTTAAGCCCTAACAGAGACATAACAAAATCAAGCAGAAACTTCTCTACACATCAAATCAAACTCTATGTCATTCTAGAAGTTTCGTCTGAATAGTTCGACGCGAAGTTTGGAAGCTCAAGAGAAAAGGCAAAATGACAAAAACAAGTAGTGGACCATTATATCATAATATAGTATATATTCAATAATCATAAAACACAGTGATGGCAGTGACACCTATAAATACTGCTTTGGTTAACTAAAGGTAAATATTGACTTCAGTGTTTCCTAAATATTTCCAAAATTGACTTCTAAAAAATTATTTCGAAATAGTTATTAACTGGCTATGCCTAAACTTTATCGCAATATTGAATAACTGCATATTGTCCACCGACCATCCAATTTTTGTCCTTTGCTTCTGTTTCTTCTGATTTTCCAGGACTTAATCCAACCACAAGGTCTGCTTTCAGTGTCCTCAGTGCACAAACAGGTCCTGGCCTAAAGCCCCACAAGGCACGGGAAAAGGGTGCTGTATAATCCCAGCTCCTGTCACCAATCAACTTGCGATAGTTCAGGTCACCCTTGAAAATGATGAGCTGAGATTTTGACAAGTCCTGATACAGGTCAGGAGATATCTGCTCCATAGCAGCAAAATCCAAACTGTAGGTCCAGTATGGATGTTCTCTTATAACGAAAGTACCTTCGTTGATTCTGTTACTCCAACGCAGTCCTAACTCAGCAATGACACTGTCGTCAGATTTCTTACACTGTTCTATCGTCCAAAGAAAGTCTTTTTTCGACGTATCTGATACGAACCAAGGAATGTCCTTAACGTGAAAGTGAACAGTATCGAAGAGTTTCTTGTCTAATAAAAACTCTGCTAGACATAGGTCGGTATACAGCTCAAAGCCAGCATTATCTAAAACGAAGTCTAGTCTAGCATGGCCATGAGCACGAGCCTCTGCAACCAAGATCTGCTCCCAAACTTTCTCAGTTTCGTTGCAAAGGATATGGGCAAGGAGATTCTTCAGTTGCGAGCTTTCTTGCAGCTGATGGGTAACCTGAGTTCCTGCTGACAATGACAAATCACATTTGTTTCCCCAAAGGCAATACTGTGGAAAATAAAAAGTCAACATTAGCGAGGAAAACGTACCTAGACCTTAAAAACAACTTCATATTGAACGAAAAGTAGACAAAGATTCAAGAAGACATAAGCACTATGGTTTTATAATGAACTACTCCATATTAGACGCAGTAGTAACACCGCCGACCCAAGTTTGAAACAAAGGCTCTATAAAAATTACAGGCTAACGACAAAATATGTTATGTTAAAAATTCTTAATTTTTCAACATTAGGACATGAGTCCCCGCCATCACCACCACAGAAAATGTAAGATGCATTTTGCAAGCATGATGCCCACATTGAGATATATCAGTGACATTATGCTGCAATGGATAAAGCAACACTGTCTTTATCAAGTCAAAGCCAATATTACCTCAAACAACATTTCAAAATCCAAACGTAGCTGCTCTCTATCCTTGATCGCTTCCTCTACTGAATCTGGCTGGGACTTTGTAAACTGGATTACATAATGTGCCAATGTTGCCATAGGGATTTTGGAGGAGTGAAATGCTTTTTCTTTCTGCTCGGCAAACGGATCAAAATCCTTGTGGAATTTGCTAAGATAAATTATAGTTTGAACCCGTTTAATCAGAATAGCTAAAATCTATGAAGAGAATATTATAGTAGAAAAAAAATCATTATCATGAGCACCAATAGGATTGAGATTTGATAAAACTTGAATCCTTCAAGTTTCATTTAAAACTTTAAGATGTCTTTATGATATAAAGTACACTGAAAAAGATGTTGCTAAAAAGAATGACTTCCAACTATTGTTAATAAATTTTGAAAAACATGCACAATATATAAACACTTTTTGGTTGGAATACCAATGTATTTATCAATAACGTTAGCATTATCACGTTTCTTACGTAAATTAATTTCTTTTTTACCTCATTCTCAAAGCTTCGAATATCCTTCTGTACAAGTAGCATTCAATAATAAGCCAAGGGGTATTGAACCAAGTAGGATCAGATTTTCCATCTTCGAGGCTCTTTAGATTATTTATAATACCGTTCCAGACAGCATCATCACAATATTTATCTTCAATTGGACGTATAACTTTATCTGTCATCATTTCGTTTCTGAGTTTTGATAATTTATTCACTATTTCTTTACATTCAATTGCTTTTTCCTGAAAGTAAACATAATTGCTTTAGCATCAATGGCTTTAACTGGTACTTTGTAAAAAAAAAGAAAAATAAATCAAACTTTAAAATGCTAAGCAAGAGAGAGTAGATTTATATATGTGAATTGTGAGGTGGCTGGATTAATTGTGTCATCTTGAGGTGCTTCTAGGAGGATCACTAGTTTACAGAGTCCAAAAAATGCCTCAACCTACCTCCAAACGAAACTATGCCCTATTTGCCTTCCTAAAAATTTTTCTTGGCTAAAAATTTCAGAGAATTTAAATTTAAGTAAAATTAACTATGGTTTGGTCTTTAAACTTTGTCTGTCAAGAAAAAAGTAAGGTTAAACAACAACGGTAAATTCTTGTCACTTGATAATTTCTTTTCAATTTGGGCCTTCCTCAAAACTACTGCATCAATGGATAACCTCCTTCCGGCTTACAGTCGTGGAACTGTAATGTTTTCTGGACTCTTGGACAATGAAAAGGTAAAGGAGGTTAACAGTGCAGACTGAGAGGTATCCATAGGTAACATACATTTATAAAGACTTGATAATCCTGATTCTAAAAAATTCTGTTTGACAAACTGAAAACTAACTATGCAGCAAATAATGTTTTATGTCAGTTCAGTGCTTTATGTCAGGTGTATATTTCTGTGGCAAAATTTAAAGCAAATGATTTACCTCTACCAGGTACATTTAATCAATTTTTTGAAGAATGATGTGAACAAGTTTTGACAAATGTAGGAGGTAGTTACCCCCTCATTCAACCCTTTGGCATCCCTACTAGGTGGTTGTGACCTACTTCATTGGACCAACAGTCCAACCTGCTCTGGATTTTGTTGAAATGCAGAAGTACAACAATTAATTGTAGTTTATGGCCTCTTTTCTGAGGAGCCAAGATTCAAAACATGCCCTTTCACTTGTTTGGGATATCTTCCCTGAGTTATAAAATTATGAACATTAAATTTGGCATGAAACTCTGTAGCTAATAGTCACAACTTAGCCATACCTCTTCATTTTCATTATGGTGTTTACTTGCAAGTCTTGACATAACATCAATAACCTTTGTCAGTATTTCTGGCATTCTGTCCTTGATTGTGACATATGCAAAAGAACTGAAATGGAAAATTGAAAAGACAATCATGAGTTTTGTATCATACACTAGCCAGAAAATTAAGACCAGGTAAATTTTGAGGCAGGTACAACCTGAAAGCGGACAAATTGCTGTCGCTATTTTCAAGTACCCACATATGTAGGGGTTTAGAAAAATAATGGTTAACGGCAATCTACTGGGACCTAAGGGGTGGAAACTGTGGTGAAAAAATTAGCACTCAGACATAATGCCTCTGCAGAGGAGAAAATGGAAAATTACCATTTGGATACAACATGAGCTAGAGCTTTGCTTCACAACAGTAAGTAAGTGAGTAAGTAAGACCATTATTGAGTAAATTCAATTGAAAACGTTCTCTTTCGTAATTTGAGGTCACATGATCACAATTTTCACTTGACCTTAAAAGGAAGTATTGGCTTTTTGTTGCAATAAATCACAAAAATTCTGCTATAAGTATTTTAAAAATGTCAATGGTTAGTTCACATTAAACTACAGAATTTCTTATGCTGGTTATCATGCTAATCAAAATGTATTATATGCATATTTCAATGTAATATAACCATAGTAGTAGCAGTTTATATAACTATGCCTGACATGTGTTGATTGACGACTCTTAACTTATAATGCAGTCAACGCCATTCTTATATAAGGTTTTGCATCAGATAGGTCTACAGTATCGATTTGGACATTAAATCGAGCAGAACAGGCCAAAAGCACTGATTGTTTCCTAAAGCTGGCCGATTTTACCAATGCATCAGCTATGTACAAGTCATTCAACCTTGGGCATATCACTGGAGAATGTCATTTAATCCTGACCTTCAAAAACAAGCAGTTGAGTTAATATTTTCAAGGAAAAGAATTGGAATTGATCATCCAAAGATACTGTTTAATAATATTCCAGTGAAGAAAGTCAATGAACATAAACATCCTGGGATTATCCTGGATTCAAAGCTTTCTTTTGCTGCTCACATCAAATCAGCTATCTCTAAAACAAAAAAGGATATCAGCTTGCTGAAATATCTCTCCAAATATCTCCCCAGGCATACTTTAAATGAACTATAAATACTGTATGCATGACCTCACTTGGATTATAGAGATGTTATATACCTTATCCTGGCTGACATGTGCCAACTCAGTCAGAATACTTTTTTACCAAGTCTTATGGAAAGGATAGAGTCTGTTCAGTATACTGCTGCTCTAGCTATAACTGGTTCATGGAGGGGAACTTCGTGACAAAAATTGTATGCGTAGCTTGGCTGGGAATCATTCAGTTACCGTAGGTGGAGCAAACGTCTTACTTTCTTTTAGAAGATTGTAAATAATTTCACCCCTAGTTATATGATGGATCCAATCCCTCAGCTTCATCGGTCACATTACTCTCTTCGCAGTCAATTCAATTCAATTCAATTTCATTGACAAATATACCTGAATACATTACAATACAGAATAGAATTTATTAACATAACATTACAACATAGAACTTAAACATAGAACATAAGAAGACATTATGTATTTAAATATATTTGTCTAAGGAGGAGCTCTCTAATAGATGAACTAATCGAGAGAAGCCCCCTCCCCCCCCCCCCCGATCTAAAACTAAAAAAGTGAAATTTTTTATTTAAATCAAAAGAGAAACCAGAAAGCCTCTGCAAAACATTGGAATAGACAAGGACTTGGAGACTGAGGAGATCCTAAGGGATTACCTCAATATTGATGTAGAATATAACCATTTTTGAGAAATTCTTTCAGTTTTGATCTGAAAATATTTAAGGACGCCTAAATTTTAATGTATGTTGGAATATCATTCCAGAGTTTAACACCAAGATATCTAATCGACCTGAGCCCATACAAAAATGTATTCCTTGAAGGTTGGAAAACATTACCACTAATTGCCCGAAGCGTTCCATGGCTTTGAACTGTATTACTAAGCTGAAAATAGTTGTAGAAATGAGAAGGTGAAAGATGATTGAGTGACTTGTGAACAAATTTAAGAATATCCTGGTGAATCATATCCTTTAATTTGAGAATTTTAAGTGAGGCAAATATTGGTGTTGAGGGAGATCTATTGGGGTGAAATGAGATAGACCTCAATAGTTTTTTTTGTAGTAAGAAGAGCGGTTCCAGAAAGGTTACATGTGAAAGACCCCAAGCTGTGGAGCCGTAGCAAAGAAATGAGGAGAAAATGGAATAGTAAAGAGTCAGGACATCGTAAGGCAAATAATGGCGAGAACAGAAAAATTCAAATCTAGTTTTTATCCTCACTGTTTATCTGAATGGAACAATATTGAACCAGAGCTTAGAATTGCAACATCTGTTGCTATTTTTAAGGAAAAAATTTTGTCAATTACCTGCCCCGCTGCAAAGTCTGTCTTCGGAATTCATGACCCAATAAAATTATCCCTTCTCACTCAACTAAGAGTTGATCTAAGCAAGTTAAACTCTCACAAACTCAAACATATTTTTAGGGATACTTTAAACCCAATGTGCCCTTCGAATGATGGCATTGAGGATGTGGAACATTTTATGTTGCTTTGCCCTTTTTTTGCTGCTCAACGACAAGATCTTCTTGCTGAAGTCTTTGACATATTACAACCTCTTGGACCTACAAACCTGTCAAATAAGGCTCTAACTCAGCTTTTACTATATGGCAATGAAAATTTCCCTTATGGCGTCAATAGAGACTTTTTCAACTTGACTCTACAATTCATCCGCAATGCTAGTCGGTTTGAATAAGGTCATTTCAATTTAAAATGTACACCACATAACCATTTTTTCTGTAACGTATTTTTATTTTTATTTTTTATTCTTATATTTATGTGTATATATGTTAATGTCCTTGGGGTAGACACAGCCTTTTGCTCCCCAAGGGTTTTCGTCGCAGTAGTATTGCAAAGAAGTTCTTGTTAGTAGTAGTGTAGACAGTAACATGTATTGTAACTTTTTATTGGCTTATATATAAAAAAACTTCGTCCTTCACAGGTAATAAAAAAATTTATAGTCTAGCTAAAAACTCTATTCAAATGGTGGTTTCCTATTTTATCAGTAGCGTTAACCTACACCCCCTTACCCTAATCTTTTCTCAAGTAGCCCCCTTTTTATGTATTCTGTAGGTTTTAGACTTTGCTTTTGAAGCCAGCTTGTTATGCATTTTCTTTAATATCTGAATGACCTGCCTGTCAAAAGACTTTGGCTATTCCCTCCGTTTTCCCCAATATCTGGTGTTTTTACTAATGCTAATTTATATCATGTTTCTCTTTCGAAAATAATTTTCCCAGTAGAAATAGATTTTCTCAGAACAACATAGTTTTATCTTGTTTGTTTATTTCCTGATGCTGTTGCATTGTGTTTTTTCACCAAAATTTCATCAAATATTTTTTACTTAAATGGCACAATTAGGCCAATTACTTTGCCTGACTGTTCAAATACTTTTAGGATGGAAGTGTACACTCACTACCCTTCTTCTACCCAGTGGCTGGTACCTTCAGGGGGTCATCAAATGGGGGTTGGGGGTGCTGTACCCCTCAAACACTTTGGCTGTTGTCACATAAAGGATATTTGCCGGACTAAGGAAGAAATTTTTTCTCACCCTAGAAATAAAATTTATGTTGTATTGTAGTAAAATTTGAACCTTTCTGCAACAATTTTCACGTATCAAAATTACAGTAGCAATTGATCTTTCAAAATATGCAACTAAAGTATTAATTTTGAGATAGAATTCTTGAACCTTTCACCCTCCCAATATTATCCATCAATTTGTTTCCCTGGCAAGGGTGTATTTGGGGTCAATGAAATCTATAAACAGAGGCCTCTGCTACTTGAGGTTATCCTTAATTAAGGAGTGATTGCCTAGTTATAAGAGAAAATTCCATCAATTCTTGCTTTTTTTCCGATTATAAAAAACCTTTGTTATATAGGTACATATTCAAACAGCGAGAAATATAAAAAACTCAGCCTGCGGTAAAATGGAGCATCAGAATCTTTGAATTTCTTTTCAAACGCATTCGTCAGAAAATGAATAATGACATTCAGTTTCCTTGGATACTCTCTACACACAAAACGTGTCAAGTACGAAAATAACACGACAACTACAAGTACGTAATACATTCAAGTACGGTACCCAAAATGAGATGGTATGCTTTCAAAACCGTTAGCTTTGCAACAAATTTTGTAATATTCATAGTAAACACAAACGAAAACACAAACACAAACGTTTTTCGATGATTAGATATTTCAAGACATAGCGAAATTACGGATAACAGCCCAGTGATGCACGAAATGTACATTTGGCCTAAGTGACCTTGTGCACCGAGATGGCAATTAAAATAGGTTAAAACGGGAGGGTGCAAAATTCATAAGTCCCTGAAACCTTAGATTGTCGGTAAATGGTTCTCACCTCTTGTCTCGGCCAGAAAGTGAGCATGGGCGTTCCCCCTCCATGTTTTCGTCTGACTTTTGCTTTCTTGCAGCCCTGCATAAACGTGCCACAGCCAAATTCGCAAAGACGAGAAGAGAAGCCACGAAGCCAGTTGAATTGAATGGTTGCTTTGCCAACGCTAGTGAAGCATAAAAATGCGATTCCGTTTTGCACTGAATCTGGAATCTGTGGTTCTCAACGGTGGCAGAGGTAACTCGCAGATGGGCGTTTTTGAGGGCATCAAAGTGCCCTTGTGTCAGATGTGGAATAGTCCGTAGAAAGTCCTTATGAATAAAAAATATTTATTGCCTTCTAGCGCCCTTTTTTGGAAATTGTTCACCCCTTTTTTGGAAATTGTGCGCCCCTTTTGAAGAACGAAAGTCAAGTGAAAAAGTTTCAGAGTAGGTAAATTTACTTTAAGGATTACCTCCAAGTTAAGTTGTTTATTCAGAAAAATGGACCATGTTTTACTAGGAAAGTCACGCTTTGAAAGACAACAAAGGCTATTCATAAAGTTGTGTTCTTTCATTCCTGCCTTCATTCAAGCAGTGTTCAAGCTTCATATCAAAATAGAAATATGGAACATAATTTTGATAGAATACTTGTATGTTGTGCCTAGGACCCTTGGATCTCAGTCGATGTTGTAAATATCCTTGACCCATTTTCCGGCTATCTCTAGAATGTCATAGTTGCAAAACATTTTCTGCCACAAACCATCTCGCCAGCCATAGTAGCCGCGTTAATCAAACTCTGAGCAATCAATCTTACCTTTTGCATCAATGACGTACTATTGAATTTTAGGTGTATTCATTAAAGTACTGTCTAACTACACAGCCATAGTCAAATTGAAAATTGAAGAAAAGCAGCAAATTTTCTGGGACCCCAAAATTCGATCTCCCGGTACAGAAAAAGCATAGTACTCTAGCAAAATTCGAGCCACTATGGCGGAGCAGCGAATATTCAGCCGGAAAATTAATCTATATATCATTGTTTTGGCACAATCATTGTAAAAAATTTCTTAGTAAATGAATAGAGAATCTTCTGTAGTAGTTAGGGTCTGAAATTATTGTATAAAGCGTACTCTCATTACAAATTTCTATAAATTTTTCAGCGCCTCCACTTCCAACTGCCCCTCCTTCAAATCAGTTTTGGATACGCGACTGATCATGAAGTTGTCAAAGACATTTGCTGAGAGAAAATGTGGGCGAAGGACACGACCAGGCAAAGGGACACGCCCACTCAAACCTGCAAAAAGTGACACTGTACATTCTATTTTTTATAAGAACCAGTAAATTTAATTCATGCTGACTGTTCCTGATTTTTCCAAAATCTGAGACTGGATTTTTCTTAATTTGTTCTTTAATCTTAAATTAATAGGATGTAAGCTGTGCGATTACTAGCTTTTTCACTCTAGGAAGGTGCGAAGACCTCATTTGCCAGCAAAGTGAGCGAGACAACCTTCATTTGCTGCCAAGTTTGTAAATTCACCGAAAAAGTTACACTGATTTATCAGGGCTGGCCCCTCCAAAAAAAAGTTGTATCTCGGTCTTTGGCTCTAGAGATACCTAGCAAAACATTAGGATGTGGTATTAACCTTACAGAAAACATGCCAAAAGCTTCCATCGGTCACAAAATATACCCATTTATACTTGAAAATACCTTGTTTCAAGTGTCCTTATTATAAAGCTTGCTTCAGTATAAGTGTTGATTTGTTTCAAGTTATACTAAATAATCTTTCATGAACTATGAATAATCAGAAGAGGGCCCACATTGGCGAATTCTCCTTACTTTGAACGTGGCGTGGCCTAGGTACCAAAAAAAACGCGATTTCCCTTCTGTAGATGAGAGACGAAGACCTCAAAAATGCTAACTTCTTCTATAGTTAACTTTTTATCGATTACATTTGCAGTAATGCAAGATTGTTACAGTAAGGGGTCATTGACAGGGTGCCAACATCAGACCAAAAATATTTTTTGAATTGGGTCTACTTTTAGTTTCTGCAACTAGAGTAAACTGTATCTGGTCTGTGACTTCATTTCATTTCAAATAACTTCGGATCTTCGACATTTTACAAAAATTGTTGCTCTACCTGAAAACTCTTTTCTGCATTCAGGGTCTGCTAGAGCAGCCATACATTTTGTTTTGGTCTAAGATAATTTTTTTGGGCTTACGTCATTTTGTACTGACTTAGCCCTTCATTGCATCGAACGGTAATTCCGTTGATCTTGTTTGCTATTGAAAAGCACACTGACAGGATTTACCAAAACTTTCAAAGAGCCATGTCCTATCACGAAGAAATTCGTGTTACGAGTTGTCCTCGTTATGGTCAACAAAAACATTGACCATGCATGAATGAGATTAACCTCCATGGCCCTAACTACATGATGTTACATATTTACCTCGTTACCACCTCTTTATTTTGCGTCAACGAGCCGATTACTTTCATACCACAAATATTCCTAAAAGATGCAAACAATTGCCAATTCTACTCAATTTTCATTCACACTCCTAACGCTGCGAAGATGACCGTAGCATTTTGAAGTTCCTCAGGCGGTAAGTCTCTGACATGTTTTATATGTTTCTTCTTGTTAACATACAACTCCATTTATTTCTTAGCAGCTATTCGATAAAAAGAAGTATCTTTTTTGCCTTAAGGTCGACTTAACGTGAAAAATACTTCGAACTTTAGCCTTAAGGGTTGGTTCCGATTCCGTGGCTTCAACATGTGCAACCGAAAAATGAAAGCGGATTGTTTGTTTGTTTAGTTATTATTTTTAATCGCATTATATTGTTAAGTATTGTGTTTTTCGTGATTTAACTCAGTTAAATACTTAGCCATTGAGTAAAAGTGAAACCATCATGTAAAGGCCTATAAAAAGCAATCTAATGACAAAAGTCAATTGGACCTTTATATAATCTCTTCAGTTAGAGGGAAGTTGTACACTAGGTCACTATATTATCAGGCTGTTGAAGTCAGGGCTTTATTTGGCAATTATTATGGACAAAAAATCTTTACTTAAATCATCTTTGCACTGTAAAATAGCAAGGTTGTTGTTTCTTACAAAAAGGCGCAACATTTAGGCCGTTTTTCCGATAATTTGCACTTCAGAAAAAAGATTATCTAGTAGAGAAAGAATCAGAATGGAAACATCAGATTACTCGTGACAGAGTGGGACAAATGAGATATGAATTCGAGACTGACAGTGACATTATCAATACACAGCGCGTTGGCTGTTTTTCAGTGTCCTAACGAATACTTAATGCAGGGGCGGCGCCACGGGGTGGACTGGGGATGTCCACCCCACTTTTCTTAAAGATATACTTTCTAATTTTTCCAGAACTGGATTAAAAACATAAGGGGGTGTGAATTTTTTTCTCTGAAATTGGACCTTTTTTCATTTTGATTTTCATTTCATTTTCATTTTCTTTTTTCATCAGTTACGATCCTTTTCAGATCTTAGCTGACATAGAGTATGGCGTGTTGGATCTTTAGTTCCGTAAATAGTGAGGAATCAAAATGAAGATGACCTTTAAAACACAGCTTTATCGTGCTTACCCTGGGTGCCAGAGCCTCAGAGAGTCAAAGGATGAAGAACGGGGGAAGGAATTGCGAAGGAGAATGGAAGAGGAAACTGAGGCTCTGGCACCCAGGGTATACCGTGCTAAACAGTTGGTTTTTCGATTTTGATTTTTGCCTTCCTTCCTTGTTTAAGGTTTTTTGGCAACAATAAACTTTAAAACTTGTACCCAAACTTTTTTAAGCTGTAAGGGTAGTATAGTTGCTGTTCCACCTGTTACAGCTACATCACCTTTTAGCCTTAATATCAGGCAAAAGGTTGGAAAACCATGTTCAAATTAGCATCGATCGAGATATGGCAGATAAAATTGACAAAGGAAGCCTTGTTACTAAGTTTAAAACCATTGTGCTTGCTTAAAAATAACACTCTGAAATTAGCTTTTATGTTATTAGTTTTTATGTGTGTAAACCTTTGCCTATGAAATTTAACTCTTCTATTGGGGGTTCAAAGTTGTTTAACTTGGTTAACAATAACGAGGGTGATATCTCGTACGGTATTGCACCGGTTTCTCACCCAGACCCCTTTATCAGCTACTATTTTGGGGCTGGCGCCGCCCCTGACTTAATGCATACGTAACAAAGTCTGTCAAAATCTTATAAGAATGTCTTAGCTAACTCAAAAAAAGCTAAATCAAAAGAAGAATGTCTGTAAATTCGTTGGCAAAAATTCCATTTGAATTCTTAAAATACCCTTTTTTCAATCGGATGGGCCAAGTTTTTTTTTAAATGACATTGCAGTGGGACCAAGTGATACTATGTCACAAAGTAAATGCCTAGAAGTTAAGGTGCCGCCCATTGTTTCTTATACCTTCTATTCCCAATACAATACTCATTCTGTCTGGCAACTTGTATATCTTGTATACCTTGAATAAATGTTGGATGGTTGTAATTCAAAGTTAAGTGTTGCAATGATAGGCTGGAGTAAATAGGAAAGTGTACATGACATAAGAATGAAATACGACATTGATGATGCTTATGAAATACTACATGTTTACTTACAACCCCTACCAAACCATTTTTAAAAATGAGCATTTTTATTGCATCTTGGACTGCTATTTTTTGCCATCCCCTAAGTTAGGCTTAGGGACAAATATTTTAGCCTCCCCCCACCCCCGTGGCACTCCAGGTGCTACGGCACTATGTTAAAAGTAACTAGGTTTTCATATATAGGTTTTTTTCATTTGACTGTTATGTCGCTTCTGGCCCAGTTGATTGATACATACACTCATTCTTTTACAAGAAACTGGCTATAAGAAACGAGTACTGGATAGTCAGGAAAAATAAAGAAACTTCAGTACTCGAAGCAAAAAAATTAAGAAACTATTAAATCTTGATAAAATTGAGAACAGCAAAATTTTGTAAAATCCAAGAACATGATTGCCCTGTTTGCCTAGAACTTAAGACACAGGGGATAGGGTAAAAATATACTTTCCACATCTAAATACAGCATCAGAACGGAAGCGAATCTCTTGACGTGATAAAAAAGATCACGAACATTTCATTACATCATTCACGGCATCATAATTAAGAAACTCTTAAGAAACAATGAGTATTGAAAATTCCAGAACATTAAGAAACTGGAGTACTCAACATCGACCTTTGTTCCTTATGAAAAAATGAGTGTATTTGTGTTGTTGAGCTTGAAAAGGCTTGTTTGGTATTTAGAGCTTTTTGTTTTCTTGGGTAACGAGAAGCCAAGGTACAAATGTTTAGATGCAGTCCCGCGGCGTCATGGATGCTTTCTCGATTAACAACTTTGTATAAACTTAAGCTGTTCCATACATCATAATCAATTTTATTGATGGTCTTATAAATCACCCACATTTATCAATGGTCCATTTTTTACTTAATAAAGCGTATTTTAAAACCGGACTTTCGGCGATAAAACTATTTCTACCTTTCATTTGAACCATTATCATCCAGTGTTGTCTAAATGCAGTCGATTTGCTAAATCAATCTCAACCAAACGTTTCATACGATTGTGTGAACTTGTGTGACCATAGCAGAAGCGTCACGGCTGTAGTTCCCTTGAGGGGTGGGGGCAAGGCAACAATTTCTGAAACAAGATCATGTCTCATTTTGGCGTTGCTTTTAAAGGCTAATCCAAGAAAGATTCAAATGATAATATGCCAGAAGAAATTTTGTTTAGACAGGGACGTCGGTTCCATCTTTTCTTGGGTGATGTAGAAGGACTTTAGCCTTTACCGATGTAGAAAGCCCTGTAAAAAGTTAGAGCTGCTTAATGGTGATAGTCTTTCACTTTCTCACTTCACTAATCAAATAACAAAACTGTGAGGTAATGGTGTTTTATAGAGAATTTGGGGTCCACTGGCTTTCCTCTGGGAAACATTTTGATGACCTCGCTCTTGAAAGAAAACTTTCTGATGATGATATAAAACACTGAGCAAAACAAATCTATTCCTCTAGACAGCATTTTCAATTTGATTTGATTCTATTTCTAACTGCCAGAAGAGTTGAGATAAAGCAAATAAAATAAATTCAAAGAAAATCTAGGCAAAAATAGTGAATATTACCTCCAAGTCATTTCCTTTTGTGCTAAAAGAATGAAATGCTTGTTCATGGCAGAACTAGTACTTGCTTGTCTGATACAAGTTTTCGTTACACAAGCAGGCCTACCCTGGGTGCCAGAGCCTCAGAAGTCAAAGGATGAAGAATGGGGGAAGGAATTGCGAAGGAGAATGGAAGAGGAAAGGGGAGAGTAAAGCAGGCCCAGCGCCACCAAAGATACTGGAATAGTGACTATTCCACTATCCTTGGAGCCACCGATTCTAAGCTGGAGGGGCCAGCAATGTAAAGTAACTGCACATTTGCCCCAGCCCCAGTTGTTGTGATTTGCAGGTTTATCTAGATAAAAATTTGGGCTGACTAAAATCTTTAATGTGTCGAAGAATTTGGGCTAGTGGCCCCCTTGGCCCAGGCGGGGCGCGGGCTCTGACTAGAATTTGGAGTTCTTTGAATGTTAGGAGACAGATGTTATAGGTTATAAGGGCTTAACAAGGGTGTGTCAACAGTCTTCTATCAAAAACGATGATGCAAACTTTGTAAGGATCATTTATTTACAAGAAACCCAAATCGATATAAAAATCGACAAACCACTGCTGTTATGTTATTTTTTTATAAATTCAAGATTATCTTTATCTAAAATAACCCCCCTTTGTTGTTTACTTCCAAGCATCCCAACAATTCTAAACTTTGTCTCTACCTGTTGCAATCCTCTAAACACATTATAAAAGATTTATTTCATTTTTTCATGTTTTGCCTCTATTCCGGAGGAAGGAGTCAAATCTTGGTAAAGAAAAACAAAAGTATTCAATTAAAAAGTTTAAATTTCAAAACATATCATTGTTGTCATTTTTGCTTTTTAATAGCTTTTTTTCACCGTTGTTTAAAGATGTAGTTTAGTGCCAGTTTTGCCTTTATGAATTTTATAAATTTATGCTTTATGAAGCCAAAGTTATTGGGCTTTATGGTAAAATACGCTTTACAAATTCTTATGACATGTCTCCTTAAAGCAAAAATGAACTGAACCCATCCTCCTCTCTTCTTTCCTTTTCCCTGTGAGGGGTTTGCTATAGGCCCTTTTGGCATCTCCCTAGCATTACAAACCGAACAAAATTAAGATAGTCTTCTACAAAATAAGTTTTTGGTGCCGCAAAAATTGAAGGTGGAACGAAATAGCGGAAATAAAGGGGCCATATAGCATACTATGAAATCTTCTACACTATGTAGACGACACGACAGCGCTTTCAGCAAAAGAGATTTTCTAGCAATCATGCTTGCCGTGGCCTGTCGACAGCTAAACTGGATTGGGGGTGGGGGCAAGGATAAAAAAGCTTTTTCTATAGCTTCCTTACGAAATAATGTCAGATCAAGCTGCGCTGATAAGATCTTCAAACACAATTTTTGCAAATTATTGGGAGGGGCATTGCCCTCCCTGTCCCCTAGTGTCTACGGGCCTGTGCTTGCAGGGATTGATCCCGTTGAAAAGCCGGTTAAAGCCCCTCCCAGTCCTTATGTCTCTTATGCCTATGGACAGAGCATGGGTCGATATTTGAAATTTCTTGAGAAATCGCTCTTTCTAAACTTTGGATTAACTTTCTCTGAATTAATTTATTTTTCTGAATTAATCGACTTTAGACTTAGAGCTAGATGTTGTGACCGATGAGAATAGAAAAGATTTCATTCTCTATTGATAAATCCATAATTTTAGGCGCTGCTAATCGCCTCTGGAGGCTTGTTCTGTTTATTCAAATATTAGAAAAGAACCCATGGCACCTTAAATCGAAACGCCTTTGTTCGTTCCCCACTGTTTCCTCGCCAGATACATGTCAAGCGCATTATGGCAGCCTATCTCAAATATTTTAAGCCGTACTTGAAATCCTGTTGGCCTTAGATCTACCTATCAGTGACCAAATTTTGTTTGCATATACAAATTGTGAAATAGGAAAACAAACCGCCTATTGAGTCCTTTCTCTTTTGAGTATAAAAACAAAGCGAAGCATTTGCAGTGGATTGTTTACAAGATGTTTTTAGCCATTCAAGACAAAATTAAACTTATCGTAAACTAGCGAGATCCCAGTACCAAGAAGCCTGCGCGCAGGCTAAGTACCAAGGAGCAAAAAACTCAAGGATCTCATGTTAAACAGTGGAATGTAAACGTTTGCTCCACAGAATAGGCGGTAGACAACCATGCTTGCAACCTTTTTCAATGGGACACAAGAATTTCATCGTTGGCAGGTATGTCATAACAGCAAAGTCTTAGGGCTTTAACCATTTTTCTGTTTTTGCTTGTTAGCCTCGGTTTGAAAATTTGGCTTCAGTTGAAGCAAATTTAGCTGTAAAACAGTAAAACAAAGTATGTAAAACAAAGGCAGTTTAGCATTTAGACCTAAAGCCTTTCCACACGTGCAGAGAGGTTCTCCTTGGCCCAATCAGTAAACCAATACATGTTGATCTCTGCCAGGGGCGCCTGCATAAGATTAAGGCAGGAGGGGCAGTGTTGGAGCATTTTTTCACTACGTATTGTGAGGGCGGGTGATACAAAATAACATATTTGCATGCATCTGTGCCGCCCATACAATTAGGTTTTTTGCAATCAAAGACTCTACGCATAGGCATAGTGTCGAGAAAATTATCCACGGAATTGGATATTAAATAGCCTTATCATTATTCGAAATGTTTGGTTTTACAGAAGTCATGGCAATTATAATCCGCTTAGTCTCAATACTCTATGACTGCAGAATCATTGAGAAAGTAAAAAGTAAAAAATAATAATCACAACATATTTAGGGGAACTGCTTGCCCCCTTTGCCCTTCCTGGAAGAGGGCAGGAGGGGCAGCTACCCCTGCAGCTCCTCCAGGGTAGGCGCCCCTGATCTCTGCCATGTAACGTTGTCTATTGCAATGGAAAGATGAGCAGTCAGCTTAGAAATCTACTGTCAGAATCGAAGTGCCAGAATCATCAATGTGCATCAAGTAAATTCGACGTTAATACAGGGCGCCGTGAACCATATATTGCCTCAAAATTTTGTTATTTTTTCTTACACTGGAATTGAGATAACTAGAGCTCACAACTTGGTTTGCAGAGATATAGAAGTAAAAATATTTATTCCTTAGTTTTCTTTTGTCCAGATTTTTCGACGAAATGTTGTTGTAAAATTTATGTTTCACTCTAAAAGCCTAGGTGTGCAAACTAAGGTTTTTGGATGAGGTTTACCTATCCCAGGAGGAAAATTTTTATAAAATCTCGAATTTGTAACAAGAAGCCAGAGAAAGAAGATAACTCGGGTAGAACAAGACAAATAGGCAGGGTTGTAAAATAGACGGGACTTGGAGCACAGAATCGGGAAAGGGTGCTTACCTCTCCCTATTCAGTGCTTTGAACCAACTCTAGAAACTGCTTTGGAAACCACGCCCACTTGCGTGTAAGGAAAACCCTTTTGTCTTTTGCAAAATTGGACATAAGAAGAAACCTATCAATGCCAATAAGATCTCAGCCCAGCGCCTCCTTTCCCCAAAACACTTCTCATCAAGTCCCCAAAACACTTCTCATCATTGGTGTAGTCTTTCACTATCACTACCGATTGAGGCCAAATTGGGCCTTGTAATACAGCACAAAGAGGCCTTCTATTTTGCATATTCAGCTTCAGGAAAGCTGTCGTCTGTTTTCATCTGGGCCTATTTCAGGAATAGACTTAATGCTGCAGCACTAACCTTAATCCGCTATTTGTTCTAAGGTATGTTGGCTTTAAAAATTTGCATCATATGCATATGCCTTATTATTTCATCGAGTTCTTGTTATGGGTAGAGGCCAGTGTCTTGACTCCTGACAAAAATGAGGATGAAACTTTGGAATTTTCTCTTTGGTCCGGACAATAAACGGGTTTTCTATTTACCAGAACAAATAGCCTTAAACAATAGGAATCTAGACTTGTCTCCCACACAAGCTCCTGACAAACGTCCGCCTGGACAAACATCCGCCTGGACAAACGTCCTCAAAGGCTTCGTTTTATTTGGAAAAAAATTAAGATAGGAGTCAGACAAAAATGATCATCTTTGTACGGGTGTGATAATGTCAACTTCGCTGATAAAGATATTCGGAGGCACGCCGAAGCAGGGGGAGGGGTGGGGGCTGGTGGTTATACCACAGTTTTGCGCTGATGTATGATTCTCGGTTTGTGGAATCAAGGGTAATGATGAAAAAACTACCATTTACGCTTGTCAATTTGTCTAGGGACTTCTCCCATCCCAAAATTTTCTGTGGCGTCCCTGGTTGGGTCAGCCGTCAAAGGACGAAGGGGTGTCTGCCTAGCCTCTCTACAGACCTCAAACTTGAAAGTTAAGGGGCTCTACTTTTAAGTTAGGAGTGTTGATGATAGGCCATGTCGGCAGCCATTCTTTCTAGTCTTATCTTTTAACTTTTTCTCGAGAATCGAGATTTTTCTCATTTTTCTCAGGAGGGAGAGGGTGGGCTCTTGCCCTTTCACATTTCTACACTTTCCGCCCCTGACTGGACTCTTCGAAAACGCCGACAATCGTCTGCTCTTAATCCTTCTTTTGTCTAAATGCATTGCTTCGGAGAAAAAACACACTGCTATAACGGAATCGAATAGAAGATTTTGTGGTCTATCTTGAAGCGAAATTCAATGAAAACCAGGCAATTTGATATTCTTCGGAATTTTGCGTCAGTCTTGCAAAAATCTACGCCTTCGTCGCATTTTTTGAGAGGTCCCGTACGGAAGTAAATTTAGTTTAGAACAATAGGCTTGCTGATCCAACACAGGGGTTGTTGATCTAAGACAGGCATTTGTTTAGGCTCCTGTAAACGGTAGGTTACTGTACATGGCCAGCATCGATGTTTCAAATGGCTGAAGTCCAGTGTGTATTGTCTGCAAAGGTTATTAAACAGGTAGGTAAAGCGCAGTCTGTGCAGTTTGTTATAACCCAAATGGGGTACGTTTGATGTTTATTGTCTTGAACAGATGACATTTAGTTGTTTTGTTATCGATTTAAAGCGACAGATCTGCTCAATCGAATCGAAATGTAAACAAAAATTACTACCAGATAAATAAAAATGAAAAAAGAAGAATTGTGGTTCGGCAATGTAGCTACATAGACGCTAACAAAACCTCGGTAAACCTCTTATCTCCTTGAAACGAAAAATGCCGTTATAGTGACATATTCTATAGCATGGAATTGTCCTTTACTGCAAGAAGCAAATTATGTAGTTGAAAAGTTGATTATCGCGACTACAGCTTTTGCAGTTAATCCTACTGTTCTTTATTCCAAAAGTTATAGCCTTATTCATTGGGACGCTGTGGACCACATTTTATCGTCTAGTAAAATAACATCAGATGATATTGCCGGACTAAACAGTACCGCAGAATAGAAATAGTGACAGCACGTCCAATTGTGTTGCTTCACTTCCAGACTAAGGGGATAAAGGGTTGCAAGACAGACGGATCCAGAGCAAATTTGAAGGAGGGGCAGTTGGTATTGGGGGCGCTGAAAAATTTTCAGAAATTGGTGACGAGTGTACGCTGTATACAAAAGTTTCAGCCCCTTACTACTGACAGAAGGCTTTCTAATCACTTTGTAAGGAAATTTTCATAATAATTGTTTCATTTCATTTCATTTTATATAGATGATTCAAACTTTTAATAACAATGTACTGATAATACGATTTAATATTGATTAGGTAAGCTTAGGACACTTGGAAGAAACTCAGAAGAGCTATCGAGCCAAGTGCTTTTTACACAATTTAACAACAATTTGCGATATAAATGAAACAAATTATGTTAATAGTAACATAACAACAACAGCTAAGAAAATAAGATTAGATAAAATAAGAATATTAAACTAAGCAAAATGGAACTTAAGTAACAGGGTTAGGTTTGGGAAATCAGGATACTTGCTAGTTTATTATTCAAAATTAAAATTAAAATAAAAAAAACGAAAAGACCAAAATACAGATGTTCATTAAGAAGGATTTGAGAAGGATTTTTTAATTAAGACTATATACAAATATGAATATCAACCGATCGAGCACTTATGTTTAGAAGCCATACTTGTTGTATACTTTGTGGTAATTCTAGCGTTTGAAGTAAATTAACCCATAAGTCTCAGAAACTTTTTCACCTGATTCTCATTCTTAGAATCCGTTAGAGTGAACTTTGCAAAGTTGCGTTAGAGTAATTTTTCCGAAAAATTGTCAAACCTTTTATTGCAAAAAAGTGGGGGGGGGGGGCTATAGCCCCTGCTAGCCCGTTGACTGCACTCAATTCACCGATATAGATAAAGATGAACAAAAATTTAGGGTCTTTTTCATAGTTAAGCGATTTTACCAACTAACTTTAGATTTTCTGGATCAACTGAAGGTTTACCGACCACGTCATGAAGAATAGTTGGAGGGGGGGGGGGGGTTGTCACAATCCTTTACGACCCGCTAGCCACACCCCAGAGCAAGTCGTTAACATGCTTTTTCTCTGAGAAGCTTCAGAGTAGGGGTTTTCTTGGGCTGCAAACAGTTGAGAAACTCATAGAGCTGCTTCAACATAGCAAATATGCTATAAGAACAAAGAGACATATCATTTCTAAGAAAGCAAAACCTTTAAGAAATTCAGCTAGCCACAATCCAAAAAAATGACATGGTAAACTTCCAACATATTCCAAACAAAATGTTAATTTAGCATTCCATTTTTCTCTTTTATCATTTGAAAATGGCTTTGAAAAAAGCTTTTCGTCTTTTATAGCAAACTAAAACTTTTTGCTTGACTGTCTTCAAAATGAAAAACCTGGAATTAAGGCCAAAAAGATAGAAAAGTAAATATATACCCAGTTGCGGGTCGCACCAAGCGAATCAGGTAAACGCAAGCACTTGACCTGTTTACAAAGACCGAGATACAACTTTTTGCTTGGGGGTGGGGGGGGGCAGCCCTGATAAATAAATGTAGCAACAACCATATTCAAAAAATAAAAGTATTTCCCTTTTAAAAACAAAAACTCTCAATAGCTTTCAACTGTTCATGTAAAAATGCTCCACGTAACTGGAGAAGGTACTAAAATGATACATAATGAGTTTTTTGCGACTGTATCATGTCCTGAGCTTCTCTGCCGAGGCTCTTTCTAAGGATTGTAAGGCGTAAAAGACTTAGAAAGATCAGTTCTAAACATGTGCTTAGAACCCAAAAAAAGTCATAATATACCGTATATCCTCCAACGAACTCCCTCTTCTTTTAAACGCCTCCCTCTAATAAACGTCCCTTCGAAAGGGGGTGTTCATTAGAATTCCTTACCAAGAAAAACTGTTTCTTTGTATATGACTTTTATTTATTCATATTCATATTAGCACCCCCTTTTTTAAAAATAGTTTGATTGTTCTTCACATTCTGAAAAATATGAACCAGAACATTACTGTACCCAGACAGGTTCACATGCCAAATTCTACCGTTCGTTTCGGTTCCCTAATTTTTAAAGGCTTGGGTACATTTTTGTTTAAACAAAATTGTCATGCATTTGTCTACCCGGACCGTTCTGCATGCTAATTTCTACAATTTTTTGGTACCCTTATGTTCAAGTGCTTGGGTACGTTTATGTGTAACCAAAACTATCATGCATTTGTGTACCCGGACCAAATTCCACTATTCGTTTTGGTACCCTATTGTTTAAATGCATGGGTACGTTTTTGCATAGCCAAAATTTTCATGCGTTTGTGTACCCGGACCGAAATGTATAAGGTTACCGAAACGCATATGACACCATATATGGGCATTTTTCGAACCGGGGGTATGGTAATCAATTATTTCGCAAAAACATATCTTTTAAAAGTCGGTCTCGGCGTTAAACTTCATTTTATTCCATTTTAAACATTGATTTGATCCCTTTTTGCCAATTCTACCAGGTAGCAGCAAGTTACAGGAATCGGAGGGGGGGGGGGGGGGATTAAGATTGTGAAGACGGGGGTTACATCATTTTTCATAGCTATCATTTTATTATGAAACACTAGTTACTCAATATTGCATGCTCAATATATAAGGCTATTTAGCATACACAGCAGCAGGACAGACTGACGGTGATAAAATAGAAGATTTCTTTGTTGAAACTTGATCTAATGCATCTGATGCTGTCTCGAACTGATCAAGCACAAAGGAATTTCAGTTCAAGGGCAGAATAAGTACCCTTGCAGAACTGCAATTTACCAACGAGGAAAACAGACAATAAATCGAGACGCAAAAGTAGATTTTCAGGAGAAATTGAAATTTCCCCTGCATTCTTTACCGTTGTGCCTAGCATTTCCAGACGGTTCCCGAAGGACAACAGCAAAGAGTCAATCCATGGAGGTTATCCTTTCTTCTTGCAGCGATTCTACTGATCCCAAAGATGTTGACTTACCTGAAAGAGCCACTTCAACATATCTTGTGGACCTCATGGCTTTGGTACGTACAATGCCTAGTTTCTTTGATACCTACCACGACCTGGCAATGAGCCTTTTTGATATGCTCCCAGTTGGTTACAATCGTATTGACATTGTGGTAGATACATACAGGGGAATATCATCAAAAGATCCAGAGCATGAAAAACATTGTATTGCTGACAGAGTCATTGTAAAATCACCCCAATCAAAACTTCCCCAAGATTTTGTCAATTTCCTAAAAAGCGGAGAAAATAAGACACGGCTGATAGAAAACGTGAAGGAAGAGCTTACTGCAAATAAAGAGACATTGCTTCAGCAATTACAGTGCTGATGAATAATGTTCTCGATGGATCAATTATGCTACCAGATCACAACCTCGGATTTTTTTGTTGCTGAGCAATTAAGCAGCAATCAAGAAGAAGCAGACACCAAATTGTTACTGCAAGCTGTACACTCGCTCTCCGAGAATGCCGATGCATCTGTGGTTGTTCGTTCTTCACTGTCAGGGGATGTTGATATCTTTCTTAGTGTGTTCTTAGAGAGTCCCGAGAAGGTCATAAGTGATTATGGCAGAGGAAATTCTAGGAAGATTCTGCAGCTAAGTTCTACTGATATGAGCAATGAACACAAAAAAGCTCTGATTGGCTTCCACTCCTCCACAGGAAATGACTTTCGCAAGGCAAGTCCTTTTAAAGAATAACAGGTGTCTTCATGTTTTTTCGCGGCTAGGAGCTGAGTGGAGTATTGATGACGATCTGCTTTCAAAATTGGAGGAGGATATCTGTAACATTTTTGGAAAGAAAAAGAAAGACGTAAATGCAGTTCGTTACGAAATCTCTAAAAATGTTTATGAAAATAAAGGAAAGATTCAAGATTCGTCTTTGCTGCCTCCATGGCGACAATTATTGCATTTGCATTGCCAGCGATCGAACTACATCACAAAAGTGTGGAGGTCCGGCCTACAAACGAATATTGACTTTGCAGATATTGGGCAAAATGGATGGTCTGCGGACGGAAAAATAGTCTGGATAGATGCTGCTTTCCCTGAAGAGGTAGAGCAAATTTTGGCTGGAGAAGAGAGCAATAATGAGAGCAGCGATAAAAGCGAGGATGAAGTATTTAGTAACAGTAATGCAGAATTCTTATGAAGCGCAGGTACGATCCTTTTTGTACCTTTTGCAATCAAACACATGATGTAACCCCCATCTTCACAATTTTAATCCCCAAAATCCTATAACTTGCTGCTACCTGGTAGAATTAACAGAAAGGGATCAAATCAGTGTTTAAAATGGTATAAAATGATGTTTAATGCCGAGACCGACCTTTAAAAAATATGTTTTTGGGAGATAATTGATTACCATACCCCCGGTTCGAAAAATGCCCATATATGGTAAACGCAGCGGGTACCGTAAGTTTACCAAAGATTTTCTTATTCAGCACAAAATTGTACATCGGAAAAACATTACCTAATAAAGTTCGGCTCCAGGTTACCCCTA